TACTCTACGTTATTCTATATTATGCAACGCATTGCTCTATACTTTGTTATGTTATGCTTTGTTATGTATGCTATATGCTACTCTACGTTACACTATACTATGCAATGCATTGCTCTATGCTTTGTTATGTTATGCTGTGTTATGGTATGCTATATGCTACTCTACGTTACGCTATATTATGCAATGCATTGCTCTATGCTTTGTTATGTTATGCTGTGTTATGGTATGCTATATGCTACTCTACGTTAAGCTAAACTATGCATTACTATATGCTTTGTCATGCTATGGTAAGATATGCAGTGTTATGCTACGCTATGCTATGCCATGCTATGCAATACTTTGTTATGGTACGCTACGCTATGCTTTGCTATGATATGCAATGCTTTGCTATGCTTTGTTATGGTATGCTACGCTACGCTATGCAATGTTTTACTATGCTTTTTATGGTATGCTACGCTATGCAATGCTTTGCTATGCTATGCATGCTTTGTTATGCTGTGTTATGGTATGATATGCTACCATACGCTATGTTATATAGAGGTTATTTAATGGGAGGTTTTTGATACAGGGTATATCTGGGGGAAATACAATAAACAGTATCTATACATTTTATTTTACCGAGGGATATACCCTGTATCGAAAATCGAGCATTCAATAACTGATTTATCCTATACTTATAGTAGATTATGACAATTAAATATGCATTGAATGTTAGGAAACCCTATGTAATAATTACAAACGATAAGTACAATCAAAACATGAATATTTTATCTCAATTTAAAGTCCTTGACAATTTTTGTTTTTTAAAACTCGAACAGCTTTTAACAGTGTATGAAATTATTATTTATCAAATAGAGCCAAAGAACAATATCCCGGGAATTCAAAAAGGCACCGAAAGAAATTCCTGGGATTGCTGATGAGCGGGTGATATAGATATATCCCGCTCACCTCAGCGGGAGATATACAGGGTGTCCAAAAAACAGGACCGTAAGAAAGTTGAATAACTCAGTCAATTTTGCATATTTTGCCTTGAAATTTCAGAATTATTTAGTTCATTCAATGTGAATTTTGTTGTGAAAGTTTGATAATAATCTACGAATTGAGTCAAAAACTACAGCTCCTTACAAAACATGCCCAAAATGTTCAAATCTCATCTCTATGCACAATTCAACCCGGCGAACAAGGCTGTTGATGATCCTCCTACACACATGTCTTTCTGAATGGACAAGTTTGTTCAAAGAACAATTGCTACTGGGGCTTACATCCTCCTGATGAAGGGTTACAGCATCCATTGCATTCTGAACAATGCACTCCCTGTGTGGCAATGAGAAAACATGGAATCATCAGTCCCTTTTGGTTCGAAGGTGACTGGGGACTTGCTATCACCATTGAACAAGGACCAGTAAGTTCTCATCAAGTTTTGGAGGTCACTAAGCACCAGAAGGGACATCTAAGGAGATAATTAAGCAGTGGTTTCAACAAGCCAATACCACCCCAACACTGCAAATGATATGCTGAAATGGTTTAGGCAATGCTTTGATGGTCAGCTCATCAGTTGCAGAACGCAAACCATATGGGCAGCTCATTCGCCTGATCTAAATCCCCCAAATTTTTATTTTTGAGGATTTCTCAAAGCCAATGTGTATACTGACAGGCCCCTAACAATCTTAAGAGGGCAATAACTACCCCAATATTTACAATCCACATTAATGTATAGGTCAGGGTCATTAACAACTTTGTTGGCAGGATTGTTTGTGCATAGAGAGAAGTGCCCACTTTGAGCATGCTTTGTAAAGTACTGTAGTTTTTGACGCAATAAACAGATTACCATCAAACCTTCAGAACAAAATTCACATTGAATGAGGTAAATAATTCTTAAATTTCAAGGCAAAATATGCAAAATTGACCGAGTTATTCAACTTTCTTACGGTCCTATTTTTTTGGACACCCTTTATATATTACCCGCTCAACTCAGATATCAATTACGCCGTGCAAAGCGGCTTTGCACGCCGTTTTAAAAAGCCATCAAAGCGCCGTTGGTGTGAACTTAGCTTTAATAAGCCAATTTTCTAAACAATTCCAAATCCAAACAACAGGTTTCTTGATCAAACATATCAGATTGCTCTGTTCTATCAAGCGTTCGTTGTCTTTCTCGGTTTTGATGACGGCGGTCGAAAATGACTTCCTCTTCAATACTTAAAATTGCAAATCCATCAGTATTGAGGTGGACATGGGACTCTACTCTAGCTACTAGTATATCAAGCTAAGTTCACACCAACGGCGCTTTGATGGCGCTTTAAAGCGACGTGCAAAGCCGCTTTAAAGCGCCATCAAAGCGCCGTTGGTGTGAACCTAGCTTCAGCCATTCAAAGATGCCAAGTGTGTTTCAGCCAATTTATTGATATATGCATGAAAATGAGTTTGCTGTGCATTTAATTTTTGATAAATGCACGGACTGAGCAGTATTATCTTCACCTTAGTGCATCATGTAGATGGGTTAGTACATTCACTCATGCATTTATATTTCCAATATACACTCTACTATATACCTAACACCTAGAAATGCATATGATACTTTGTTTCTAATTGTATTGTTTAGTATATTTTTGAAAGTGCCTTAGTAACTTCTAACATTCAACCGATAAACCATTAATAAGGAACAGACAAATAAAAACAAATACATAATCATTACAAATAAGCCAAATGGGTTGCTCATGAACACCAAATGCAAGGTATAGTAGAGTGATATAAAATGATGCATGATTCTTTATGTCTTAAATTAACAAGCTCACTGCTACCCACCTAGTTACACAGACGTATCGTCAGTGTATCATGGCTGAACTACTTCCGGGATTTGAATTTGGTAAGATATTTTCATTTCTCGGATTACATCTACTTATAAGTCACAATGTGGATTATAATTTGGCTCGAAGTTATGGGAGATAGTCTAGTTTGAGAATGTGTCAATGGTTTTAGGTTTGGTATGTTAACAAAGACGCATTTCACATATTTAGTCCCTCGCTTTTATTACACTGACGATCGGCATTAATATTGCCAATATTACACTGATATTGGTCGTACGTCAGTGTAACAAAAGCGAGGGACTAAATACGTGAATTGTGTCTTCGTTAACATATAAAACCTAAAACCATCGACACATTCTCAAACTAGACTATCTTCCTTAACTTCGAGCCAAATTATTATCCACAACGTGACTTATAAGTAGGTGTAAATCGAGAAATAAAAAAATCTTACCGAAACCTAGTCCCGGAAGTAGTTCCGCCATCATACACTGACGATACGTCTGTGTAACCAGGTGGGTAGCAGTGAAGCTAGTATAACTGACATTATTTGAAATAAAGATATTAAACACAACAGCTTTTGCACATAAAATATGTATTTTAACAAAACATTTGCATTGTAAAATATGGATGTTTAACAATGAGCTAATTAAAAACAGAATTAGTATGATGTCATAATTAGAAACACATTTTTAAGAAACACTTTCTTTGACAAATAATTGATCTCAGTGCAATGAGAGATGCTCCTTGGAGGGGCAAATACATATACAGATAAATAACAATATTTAAGACACTGATGTAAAATAAATGAGTGCAGGCTGATCATATACATTAAAACCCATGAAGTGGAACACTTTTGGTATGTCTAAGAATTGTTCTGTTAAGGAGGTGTCCACAGTTCAATAATCATTAAGTCAATTAGTCTTGAGACTATGTTCCACTTCTGGAGGTGTTCCACTTACAGAGGTGTTCAACTAGCAGAGGAGTTCCACTTTATAGGTTAAACTGAATTTAGAGATCTGAATTTTCAAAGCAGTTAAGTTCCTCATTGGACAACTCATTTATTTGCATTAACATTGAAGTGAAGTAGAATGTGGCCATGTGAGCATGTCAATTATGCCCCTACCAACACAAGACATGAATGGAGAGCCAGATAGGTCTACAGAAGCAGTTATAGATCTGTTCAGCAATGCATTCAATGAAACATGCTATTTATAATCAGCTCATGAGTGTGGCCAAATGGCATACTGAAAATACACTCGTTTCACATGAGGGAATCCAATGATAAAATCCTTCATATCCCAAACCAATCGACTGTACATCAAATTATATTTAAAAATTACTCACAAAGTACATTATTGAGTTTCAATGTTGAGAAACAAACATCTGATTGGTGAAGAGTGTCTCATATGCCATGGCAACAGCAATTGGATTGGTTAAGAGTTTTTAATTTGCCACAGAAACAAGCAATTTAATTGGTCCAGAGGCTCTAACCTGCAAAGGTTGGATATACAATAGAGGAATGTTAAGGATCTCCAAACAAGGAATTTAAAATTCATAAAAAACTTCTACATGGAACATGTACAACACGATTTTTTAGATATAATACATAACACACTTTTCTCCACACATAATCACAATCATGGTTATCTGAACAACATACCAGTATAAATACAACCATAATGTACAATCAACATTAGTTCCAAAGAAGATACAAACATTATGGATACATTAGAAGTCTCATACTAATATAAATGGACACAATACATCTATATATAAAATCACAATACATGGAATACTATATGTTGGTGTTCACACTTTTGTAGTCTAATCTACAGCCAAGATTATGTTGGTGTCTCATACATTTGTAAAGTCTAATCTACAGTCAAGAATATGTTGGTGTCTCACACTATTGAAGTATCTAATCTAGTGACGTACTTCAGGAGACATCTTCTTATCATCTAAAGTAACACTCAACCTTTTGATTAGTATTAGACACAAATTAGACACATAAAACCGGTGTATTCATAAAAAAAAACATTTGGAAAACGTTGGTGCACTTGTGCTCAAAATCACCTGCTGCTTTTAAATGGAAGACCCTAACACCATTCGTATTTCTAGTTTGCTATTAAAACTTTGAGCTGCTTTAAGGTATAATATTCAATGCAAATAAAACATAGAATAGCATACAGTTTGATACACCATGAAACCTCAGTGATTGAATGTACACAATGTAAATGACGTTTAGAAAAAAGATTGATATATCCTGTTTCCAGTCAATTGGTGTCTCAGAACTTTTCATCAATTATTTTACCTCATCCTCCAAACCAAGGGATGAAGACATCATCCAATACAAGAAGGATGGATCTGAGTGGATGATGTCAGCAGCGCTGCACTTGGAGGTTGACTTTACTTTGCAAATGTTATAATGCATAAGAGTATAACAGACCTTGTCTTGTGAAAGGTCATGGATAGGTGGCCTGAACCTGAATGTTTAACTTCCACACTAACAGCAAGGTCTCTCAGTTTCCAATTAGGCCAAGGATAATATATTTTTCAGTATTTTAATGTTATCACATGCTATATTTCAGAGTGGTCCTAACTGTGTCATTTTCTGGATTAATCATCATGTGGTTATTCTGATATGCAGTCCGGGTGCCACCCAGTGAAATATGAGATATGTTGAGGGTGTAATTCAGTCCAATATTGCATTAAACTGTTATATTTCCATTGCCAAACTGTCCATTATTCACTCCTTTTTCCATCTTTGTCGAAAAATACCATTCCTGCTATGCCCAATGCTAAAGCAAACAGTCCAACAACCCATGCTCCTATGTACAACAACGAATGAACCACAACTGCCATTGCAAGGGCTGCATGGTATGCAACCACCGTGCCGAGGATCACACCGAGGGTAATTGCGCTTGATGACATCATCCAAACAGTGTGAGAGTGAGGCTGATCTTTACGGAAGGTATCGTAAACTTTATTAATTGCTGTGAACATGAAACATATCATAAAAGCGATTCCTGCTTTTATGGGATTATTAAAGCCTTTTTCACATCTGGTTCTCAGCATAGAGTTGATGGTACTAGAGGGTGTATTTGGGATGATTGGAGCTTTGTATGCTGGCCCTCTGGTTGCCGTACTGCTTGTCTGTGGCTCGGAACTCCTGCAATATAAGAATATGAGTGTAAAGTCAACTAGAATCTGAGTGTGCGATATTACACAGGAATATGAGTGTTAAAAACTCAATTATTTATATGATATTTCATATGAATATCAGTGAATATGGGTTATTGACTGTTGAAATAACTAAATATGAGTGTTAAAATAACCAAGAATATAGATGATACAAGGCATCCACATGCAAAATGTCACCACATGCCATTTGTTACAGACACTGAACACCAACTGCCGAGTGCTGAACACCAAGCACGGAATACCTATTGCTACCACAAAAAAGTTGGAGACTATAACAATATGTCACAAGAATATGACTTAAAATAACCAAAAAATCTAAGCGCTGGAATAACCAAGAATATGAGTGTAACAATAAACAAGAATATGAGAGTTGATAGCAAAAACTTAAGAGTTTCAATCACGTCAATATGAGTGTAAAAATAAACACAAATCTGCATGATGAAAACTAGAGTCAAAATAACCAAGAATATGAGTGTTAATAACCATGAGTATGAGCATTTGAATAACCAAGAATATGAGTGTTAAAATAACCAAAAATATGAGTGCTAGAATAACCAAGAATATGAGTGCTAGAATAACCATGAGTATGAGCATTTGAATAACCAAGAATATGAGTGTTAAAATAACCAAAAATATGAGTGCTAGAATAACCAAGAATATGAGTGTTTAAATAACCCAGAATTTTAGTGTTAAAATAACTAAGAATGTGAGTGTTTAAATAATCAAGAATCTGAGTGATTAAATAACCAAGAATGTGAGTGTTATATAAGAATATGAATGTTAAAGAACCAAGAGTTTGGGAGTTAAAATAACTTAGAATGTGAGTGTTTAAATAACCAAGAATTTGAGTGCTAAAATATAACTTAGAATGTGAGTGTTAAAATAACCAAGAATGTGAGTGTTACATAAGAATATGAGTGTTAAAAACCAAGAATTTGAGTGTTAAAATAACGAAGAATGTGAGTGTTTAAATAACCAGGAATATGAGTGTTAAAATAACTAAGAATGTGAGTGTTAAATAACCAAGGATATGAGTGTTAAAATAACTAAGAATGTGAGTGTTAAAATAACCAAGAAATCAAAGTGTTAAAATAACTTAGAATGTGAGTGTTTAAATAACCAAGGATATGAGTGTTAAAATAACTTGGAATGTGAGTGTTCAAATAACCAAGAATGTGAGTATTACATAAGAATATGAGTATTAAATAACCAAGAATTTGTGAGCCTAAAATAAGGGTAGACAAAACATACAGAGAGTGCCTTATTTAGTCCTACATTTTAGTGCATTGCATTTTTGTTTCTGAAATATGATGCCTGCTGGAAATAGCAATTTTAAAGCTCAGAATTAAGCAACCAGAACAACGGCAACGCCAAAGCGTAGCGAATCCCATCGAACAGAAATGGCTGGCATTTTTACAAACAAAATATATAGCAAATATCATAAAATAATACCCATTAGAAACGCCACCATTTTCAAAATGGTTGCTCATTAGCCAAGTTGTCATCAGAAGAAGTAATATGCTTTTAAGTAGCCACATATAAAATTTAAAAAAATGGCACACACATACATAAAAATGTTGGCCTACTACCCAAAATGTCATAAGACAGTATGCAATCCTTACGAGTATTCACATATCAAATATGAACAAAATCGCTCCAATACTTTTCAGTAATAGTGAAAAATGTAAAAATGACAGCCATTTTTCAAAATGGCTACCTACTACGCCAAGTGTCATGAGACAGTGTGCAAGGCTCGTAAGTATTCACATATCAAATATGAACAAAATCGCTCCACTACTTTTCAAGCTATAGTAAAAAACGTAAAAAATGCTACCCAAAGTGTCATTAGACAGTGTGCCATGCTTATAGTATTCATATATAAAATATAAACAAAATCGCTCTTCTACTTTTTGAGTTGTAGTAAAAAATGTAAAATAACACACGTAAAAATACTATCCAAAATGACATTAGACATTGGGCGATGCTTAAAGTATTCACATACCAAATATGAACAAAATCGCTCCACTACTTTTTGACTTACAGTAAATAATGTTAAATAACACACGTAAAAATGGCAGCCAAATTTCAAAATGGCCGCCTACTACCAAAATGTCATTAGACATTGTGCCATGCTTAAAGTATTCACATACCAAATATGAACAAAATCGCTCAACTACTTTTCAAGTTACAGCAAAAATTGTAAAATGACGTGCAAAGGCAGCCATTTTTCAAGATGGCTGCCGTGTATTTCTTCTGTATTTACATTTCCAGCTTAATCAATGTCCTATATAACTTTTTTACATTTAAAACATATTGTTATAATTACAGTTTTATATGCAGTACCTAAATTACTGTAAAATTGGCACTAAAATGGCCACCATTTTTAAATGAGTGGCCATTTTGAAAATCGGTTTTCGAGCAGAACTTATACTCCCATTGGGCATATGTGTACAAAATATGAACAAAATAGGGCCAACTGTATTTGAGTTATTGCCCAGACGGACGTACGGACGGACGGACGGACAGACGGACGGAGGTGTTCAATATATCCCTCCAAACTCGTTCGATGGGATAATTAGCTTATCCCTAAGTTACATGCATATAGCAGCTGTTGATCACGATCAGATGCAATGAGAATGTTTATTACCTGATAATGATATTTATTAATAATGCTGATAATTCATGTTGACCTACACTTACAGAGTACATAGTACAAGGTACAATTTACATGTAATAAGTTTGATCTATAGTGTATATAAATCCTTGTACATTTAAATATATGTTTAGGGGCCCAGCCTGGTCATCTTGCCAATATTTTTTTACCTTTTTAAGCTTTTTAGAATTCAATTTTAGACTTAAAATAAATAAGCCTAATAGGGCTGTAGGGGCAAATCAGTAAATCAGTATTTTATTCAACATATTTTCTTAACCAAACAATTACTGTGTAAGTGCCTAGGTTTTAACAGGTTAGTCAATGTTTGTAGTGAGTCACACTGACATTTCTCATTGACTATAGTGGTCACTATCACCACTTTACCTTTATAACATGCATTCCTTAAATGATTCAACACATGTTATTAGATACTGACATCCCACTGGTTTTCTGGCTGCTTATGACATACCTTTTCAGACATATGGCTATGTCTGTCAATATGTTGAATGATAAGAATGTCGCATAGATTTTAGCATCCTCCGATCACAGGGCTTCAAAATCCAGAATATATTCTTTCTTTTTACCCCCTGCTAAGAGCAGTTACCATTTCCCCGATTAAGAACTCGCAATCTGATTGTGTTGCAACACTGCGACAGTAATCATGTATAAGTCATTGCGCATAATTAGATCACGTGATCCAGGGCTCGCTTCCAAATTGGTTAGCAGGGGGAAGAAGGAGGTACAGATTCTGGACACCTGCTTAGGAGGATGAGATTTTAGTATTGCAATATAACTTTGTGTATAAAAAATAGTAAAATTCCAAAAATTCATGGTATTCTTATTTCTCTTAGTAGGTGAGATGTAAAAATGAGTTTTTGATAATTTTCTTTTTGAATATCTGATAAGTGTAGGCTATTTGGTGAACTGATTCAATAAAAAAACATTCACATAATTTTGCTTCTAATTATCCATTTCAGGTTCATCAATGATACGCTATTTTAAAAGTTTTCAACTCTTTGTTTCTCAAAATACTGTTCTGCCGCACCCCTGCCAAGTATCCAGAAACAAATCTACCTTCTTTAAGACAAAAACATTTAACTCAATTTTTAGGTAATAAATGTCAAGACAAAAATATCAAAACAACGTATACATAAATCACAAACTTTGTTTCCAAAAACGTTCTCCCAAAGTAAACCAGTCGACAAAGGTCATTGTTGACAGATACAGGCCTGTCAACTTGGGAACACCTAACATTGAACACCTTCCTTTAAATTGTGGACACCTTTGTTTCAAAAGTGAACAACTTGGTCAAAATATCGGACACCTTGCGTTTAAAATCGTCAAGGGGGGTAGGTACAAAGATTTCGAAGCAAATGCATGACATATGGATACAAATATTTCGAACCAAATGCGTGACATATACGGAATTCGGTTGAAAAGTCAGAACTTTTTTTGGCGTTTATTTACCTCATCTGCGTTTTATAAAAAGCAGATTCTTTTAAATATCAACACAATGCCTGATTTGCATGACATTTATCATACACGCACAAATTGATGCATGATTTCAATTTTTCCAACAAATTCGTGACAATCACGCCTAATGCATGAGGGTTACAGAGCAACACATACAATATCAAGGATTGTCAATCTTCGGGGATTATTAAAATTGTAAAAAACCCGGAAGTAGATAGTCAAATATCAGTTATGTTTCAGACAATTACTTACGTTTATTTCAGCAAATGTTCTACATCTTTCTGTTTACTTTGTTTATATGTATATTCTTGCTGCTGTAATTCGATCTGTAACTCTCTATTTAGCTTGTAAACTTCACTTGATTTTCTTAACTGAAATTTTGTAGAACTTTTAATGGCAGCCATGTGTTTTTCATGACAAGAAATGTTTTGACTAACTTTAAAATGTAGAAAACGATAATTTGATTTGAGTAGAGTATTCAAGTAAGTATATATATTTTATGCATCCTTTTATAGTATTTTTGATAAATATTTTGACTATATTTTTGTACAAATTTCAGATATTTTATGAACTAACTATATGTACACAGTGGTCTGTCATGGAAAAGCAATTAATCATTGCTATCTTGGATTGGTTGAGAAAACGCCCTAAAGTTATTGCTGATATTACAATTTATATTTAAACACTTTCCAAGTCTAATTTTGGATTTAATTCCAAGGAAATAGGGAAAGGGAATCCTTATGGAAGCACAGAAGGTAATTATGTAAAACAAAGCCTGCTATTCTTTGGTTTATTGGAGGAAAACAAGAAATCCAGAAACAGTGACCTACATTCTGGTAGGTTAACGCCCTAAATTCCTTTCCCAAACCTTTACTCCAATATTCCTTCCATTCTTCTTTTAACTTATTCTGAGGGAACCCATTTTGACTTTTAGAACATTTCTCTCTGCAATTTGAGCCTAAAATCTAAAACTTTAACCAACTTTATGCCAAAAAACTTTGTCTTCAATTTATTCTGGAGACTTTGCCATAAAACTTCATATTAGTTCTGCCGCCATCTTGCTTTGTATTTGTTTGAAACATGAAATGATGACAGTATAATACTCTTGAAGAACTTATATCTTTCATAACACATATTATACAGCACACTATAACTAGGTGTACACAGCCGAAAGTGTGGAGTTGTGCCAAACTTTTATATTACATAATATATAACCTTAATTATAATCAGGTGTACACAGCCAAAAGTGTGTAGATGTGCCAAATACCATAGTATACATTCTAGTCAAAAATTTACCCCAATAAATTCACTTGCCTTGATTGGCCGATGAAATTAACTTTCCAGAAATTCCTAAGTGCTTGCTTTAATTAGCCGTCACTTATCCCCAAGGTGATTCCTTACCTTAATTGTGTCGGGAACAGTTAGATTTTTTTCATTTCACTTTTCAATTACAGTTTGTTTATGTAAATCTGAATTAAAACATTACGGACCACTGTTCTTTACAGAAAAGAACATATTTAATCATATTATATATTTTATATACCTCATATTCAATCACAAGTATTATTGAGTAAGCCATAAGAGTAACGTTTTTAAGTGGAAATCTCAGGACAGTATAAGTATTAAATTTTGTGAGTGAATAAACTCAACTACCTCATTCACAATCATAAAGTTCTCAATTTATACATTCAAGTTTACAAAGATCACAGTATTTTTATACTATTGTATTGTCTTACATACTAAAGGAAAAAATTATATATTTTATATTTTTATACTACAATAAATAAAGGAGATCTATAATTAGGTAGCTGAAAATATTTGTCTGTTTTTCATTGTTGAATTGGACTAGGAAGAAAGTGACATTATAAAAATATTGCCCACACAAGTAAACAAACACCCTAATTATTACCATCTATAATACACTTCACACAAGGTCGCCCCAGGTTTGTTTCAATGGTGTCAGATGTGTTGGATAGTATTGGTTTCTTAACGAATACGACCCAGAAAAAACAAAACAAAAACAAACAGATGTTTGTGTGAAGATTTGTTATGACCAAAAGCATTTTTCTACGACATTGTTTTAATTGTCAAGAATCACCAATTGTTTTAGTTAGATTGAGTTGTGGACATTTGCTCTGTATGCCCTGTAGTAATTTTCTGAAAGCAACAGATTCTGAGCATTATCCAGAAAAAGAAATAAATGCCTGCACCTATTGTATAGATCTCTGGAAAGCTGACCCCAATTGTTGTAGTCTATGTCTAACTAATCTTGAATACCCAAAAGAACCACACGATTGTCCTTATTAGGATATATTGTCCTGTCTTAAGCTATTGTTGTGAAACTGTTTGGTATTTTTGTCCATTTGCATATAGTGTGTTAGTGACTCTACACAAGCTTTTGACTCATTTGCAAAGGGAGATGGCAGAGTTCAAACCAAAAATCCTTGATAGCAATCCATCTCCTAGTGGCGAGGAGATGCCAAAAATACATGTCCCATCCCATGGCGATAGTGAAATCGCATTTGGACCCGTCAGGTCGGATGGCACAGAAACTGTATTGGGAGAGCAAAATCCTGAAAATTCAATTCAGTTGGAATTACCAAATGAACAAGGGAGGGATATAAGAGAAATTATAAGGGATTACACCAAAATGGGCTCCTCTGAGTCTTCAATAGACGATGGGAGAGAAAGTGGGAATGATAGTCCAGTGGTCAAAAATAATGTAAATGGTGATCAACTAAGAAGTGGGAATAACCTCACAAGTAGAAACACAGAACCAGTGACTCAAACTAGTTCAGTCCCCAGACCATCAGTCCATTTTGAAAATCCCTGGGCCAGTACTCCAGTTTCAGCAACACCAACTTCAATTGCTCAAACAGGTGTAAGATCTTCTCCTTATTGTCCTCCATCACAAGTGAGTACTAATCCATTCGAGCATATGGAAAGCAATCAGTATACTCCAAGATTTCCAAATCCTGGTATGGCATCATACTACGGTGATCCAATGTATGGGATTGATATGTTTCAACCTCGTTTAAGAATGTCTTATCCATATTCCTTTCACAGTCCCATGTATGGATTCTCTCACATGATTTCCCCTCAACATTTGAGAAGTCCATGGTATCCTCCGAGTGAAGCTTATGGTCCTATACCACAAGATCATTTACAGCCAAGTATGTCTATCGCTGATTCATTTCCAGTGAATACTCCACCTAGGGTCAATACAGGTCAACCAAATATTTCACAGAATGATGTTGTTTTTCATGATCAAAATCACCAGACTCCTGTCCCGGCCACAAATTCTGATCTAGAAGCATCCCAAAGTTTACCTGAAATGAAATATCAGCCAAAAACTGAAGAAAGAATGACCATTGTTAGATCGTCTACCGCCAATGCGAAGCTGAATTATTTTGATGGAAAAACAAATTGGCGAGATTTCTATACACAATTTAACATGGTTTCTCGGGTGGGAAAGTGGTCTCCTCAGGTCAAAAGTGAACAGTTGTTTAGTCTTTTGAGAGGTCCTGCCCTGGCAGTTGTAACAGACATGCCAGAATTAGATCAAGATGATTTTGATAAAGTCATGTTAGCTTTACAAGAAAGGTTTGATCCCCCTCACCAGCAAGATCAGTACAGGGATTTACTCACTTGTAGAATAAGAAATCCTGGTGAGTCAGTGACTGATCTGGCTGCTGATATTAGAAGAATGGTTAAGTTAGGTTATCCAAAAGCAGACCTTGCAGCCAGGGAAGACAGGGCAGTAGATGTGTTTAGAGATGCCCTAAATGATGAAGCACATGAGTGGGCGGTGCGACAAAGTAATCCCCAAACTTTACAAGAAGCTCTTGCAGCTGCTCTGAAATATGAGTCCCATAAACAAAAACGACTTAGAAAAAGGGGTGTGGTATCCCAGGTTATGGCTGTAAATGTAAGTGAGGTCCCTGTCACTGTAGCTAAAAGTCCTGATTTGAGTAGCATTCTTGAAAGGATAGAGAAGCTTGAAACAAATTCAGACCGGCAAAAGCTCTTCAAAAATCCTTGTTGGAACTGCGACGAAGTTGGGCACAATGCTAAAACATGTCCACGCCCCAAAAATGCTGCAAAGATAAATCAGAAATTCAAAGAGTATAATGATAGATCAAAAAACTTGAAAAAGCTGAGTCATTAGGTCCAGACAAAGCTTTTGTAGGAAAGATTGGGCCTATGGAAAATAAAAACAGTTTGTATTTACCTGTTGAAATGGAAAAAATACAAGTCCTATGTCTTCTGGATACAGGTGCTAGTGTAAGTGTTCTTTCATCTAAAGTATTCAATGGGCTCAGATCCTCATCCAAATTTGCCCCATCTACTGACAGTAAGCATGCAATACTGGTAGCGGATGGTAGTGAGATCCCTGTTAAAGGTACTTTTGATCTTCCATTGCATTTAGGTGGTGGTGTTACATTGAACCATAAATTTTTAGTTGCTGATATTATGTGCCCAGCGATCCTGGGTATGGATTTTATGTCAGAAAATAATGTTGTCTTAGATGTCAAAGGGGGAGCTATGACTTTGAGGGACAGCGGTCTTGATTTCGTTTTTTCCTGTGCCCTGGAATCAGGAGTTCCTAAAGCAGCCTGCATGTATAAAGTTACTGCAGCAAAGTGTGTCATGGTCCCTCCTATGAGTTCAATTGTAACAACTGGAAGGGTAAATTGTAACGAGTCGTCACTACTTGTGGAAACTTCTGGACGTCTATTAGAGATTGAGGGTTTATTACTTGCGCGCACTCTAGTAACCCCCAACAATAATGAAGTTCCTATATTAGTAACCAACTTCAGTGAAACCTCACAGACAATATATGAGAACACCCTTCTGGGTTTGGGTGAGGTAGTAGATGTTGAGAAACAAGCGGCCACACTAGAGTTTTCAGAAGATGTAGCTAGCTCATATGTTAATCATAGTGAAACTTGTAGTAGGATAGTTCAAAATGATCATCTAGAAAATTGTATGCATGTAAAAAATGTTGATCATCATACTGTACAAAATTTAAACGTCATATCGCAAGATGAACAGGAAGTGGACAGTACTCCTATTCCTGATCACCTTAAAAGCCTATTGACCACAGAAAGTGAAAGTTTGTTAGATGATGGTCAAAAAGCAAAACTGAAAACTTTTATTTTCAACAACCAAGATGTTTTTGCTAAATCGAAAAGTGATCTAGGAAAAACTAGTGTAGTGAAACATCGCATAAATGTCGGGGATGCAACTCCTGTTAAACAAAGGCCACGTAGAGTGCCCTACCATAAAAAAGCTGAAGAAGAGAAAGCTTTAAATGACATGTTGAGTCAAAAAGTTATTGAGCCATCATCAAGCCCTTGGGCTTCTCCAATTGTTTTAGTAAACAAAAAGGATGGTACTCAACGCTTTTGCATTGACTACAGGTTGTTAAACTCTTTAACCACCAAAGATGCATTTCCCTTGCCAAGGATAGATACCCTTTTGGACTCTTTAAATGGTTCACAGTGGTTTAGCACCCTTGATTTATCCTCTGGGTACTGGCAGGTAGAAATGCACCCAGACGATGCAGAGAAAACAGCATTTGTTACAGAAAGGGGATTATTTCAGTTCAATGTTATGCCCTTTGGTCTTTGCAATGCCCCAGCCACTTTTGAACGACTGATGGAAGTGGTTTTGGCTGGACTGACCCCTGATCAATGTCTAGTGTACCTTGATGATATAATAATCTATGATACTACTTTCGAAGGTCACTTGGATAAACTGGGTCAGGTTTTCGACAGATTGAGAAAAGCTAATCTGAAACTTTCCCCCAAAAAATGCCATTTTCTGAAAACCGAAGTTGCGTATTTAGGACATGTTGTGTCCAGGGAAGGAATCCATGCAGACCCTGAAAAGATAGCAAAAATATTATCCTGGAAAACTCCCAAAACTTTGAAACACTTGCAAGCTTTCATCGGGTTATGCTCGTACCATCGTCGTTTTATTAAAGGATTTTCCACAATTGCCAAACCACTCCATCGGTTGAATGAGAAAAATACCCCATTTAAATGGACTGATGAATGTGCACAAGCCATGTTAGCTCTGAAAGATGCCTTTGTCAAAACACCAATTTTGAAGTTTCCTGATCCACTACTTCCTTATATTTTAGACACAGATGCAAGTGGTCATGGTCTTGGTGGTGCTCTGTCCCAAATAGAAAATGGTCAAGAACGACCAATAGCATTTTACACAAATTCCATGAGTAAAAGTGAACGTAACTATTGCGTTACAAGAAAAGAGCTTTTGGCCATTGTAAGATCCGTGAAAAATTTCCATCACTATCTATATGGGACAAAGTTTACAATTAGAACCGATCATGGAGCTTTAACTTGGCTCATGAGGTTCAAAAATCCTGAAGGCCAGGTTGCTAGATGGATTGAGTTTTTGAACACTTATGACTTCAAAATTGTACACAGACCAGGTGCTCAACATCGTAATGCTGATGCATTGTCACGTAGACCATGTGACGAAGACTGTGACCATTGCAAAAGGCAAGAATGTGTTGGAAGGGTAAGTCCTGGGAAAACAGAACCTGAAGAAAAACCAATTTTGACTAGTATCCACTATGATATAAAACTCACTCCAAGCCTATCTGTTATGGCAGTACAGATGAAAGAAGATGTACCAAATAGATCCAATGAGTCTATTTCAGGTTGTAATTGGGTCAGTGGTGTGTCTAAAGAGACATATGAAAAATCTGTTGCTAATGATCCCCATTTAAACCTTGTAAAGAAATGGCTCATGAACCAAAAACGCCCTCCGTGGCAAGATATATCAATCAAAAGCCCTGTTCTCAAAATGTATTGGTCCCAATATGATAGGTTGAGACTACATGAGGGTGTAATACAACGGAAATGGCTTGATGCTTCTGATGAAATTTGGCAAACTGTAGTTCCCCAGTCACTAAGGGAAGAAGTTCTGAATGGCTGCCACAATGCTCGAGATTGTGGGCATATGGGTGTGTCCAGAACTGTGTCACGTGTTCAAAAGTCATACTACTGGGTAGGGTATAAAGCGGACGTAGCTCGTTGGGTTGCAAAATGTGTTCCATGTCAAAAAAGAAACCCTCCGAGAAAAACTCCTAAAGCCCCTTTGAAAAAGTATACAGTTGGAGCTCCCTTAGAACGTGTTGCCGTTGATATTATGGGACCACTTCCCGAAACTGAAAATGGTAACAAATATCTCCTTGTTGTGGAAGACTACTTTACGAAATTTGCTGAGTTAGTTCCAATGAAAAATCAAGAGGCTACAACCGTGGCTAATGCCATTTTGAAAGAGTTCTTTTGTAGATATGGCTGTCCATTGTTACTTCATTCGGATCAAGGAAAACAGTTCGAATCTAACCTATTTGCAGAACTTTGTGACATGTTAGAAATAACCAAGACCCGAACGACTGCATACCATCCACAATCGGATGGAATGGTGGAAAGAAAAAACAGAACTATCGAAGCTATGCTTGCAAAAGTTGTAGACCCCTCACATCGAGATTGGGAAGATCATTTACCATTAATTGGTGCAAGTTATAGAAGTAGTGTTCATGAAAGCACTGGGTTTTCCCCTGCAAAACTTATGTTCGGTAGAGAACCGAGAATAGCCTCTAATCTTGTCTTTGGGTCTCCTTCATTGAATACTGACTCTGGTCCAAACCATTATACAAAATACTGTCAGAAATTGGAAGATGATATGTTAAGGGTTCATGATGTTGCTAGAGAAAAACTTGAATTATCCGCTGAACGACAGAAACATTATTATGACACAAATGCCCATACTCCAAAGTTTCAAGTTGATGACATTGTTTGGCTCCATAGTTCTGTTGTGAAATCAGGAACCACTCCTAAATTCCTATGTCCCTGGCAAGGTCCGTATCAGATTACAAAGAAACTGTCAGATTTGAATTTTGAAATTAAAATGGGTTCAAAGGGACCGATGAAGGTTGTACATGTAAACAGACTCAAACAGTTTTATGGCAAGGTACCAGAGTGGATTGAAAACCTGAATACTCCAAGTCCAAATATACAAAAAGAGCCAATTGAAAGTAACATTGACAATTCTGTTCAAGATGAAATATTAAATGAATTCGATCCCATAAATAAACCAAATAAAAGACTTCGTAAAACTCCTGCCTGGCTCAAAGATTATGATCTTAGTTAAGATATTGTTATCTCGTTTCAGGAGTTTCACGTGTGTGGAACGGTGGTTGATGGGAAGCCTTGTGGCAAACATTGCCGTACCTTGCAAGACTTCATTCTGCACCACAAGAGCTTCCACAGAGCTACTATTGTCGAGGAATCTGAAGCCTATAGCACACGGGTGGGTCGTGCTAGGTATCCACAATGTTTCCAGTGTAACAGAACCTTCTCAGATAAGCGTAGCCTAAACTTACATATAAAAAGCATTCACAAGACATTTGTGTCTAAAAAACAGATGTCTCATCCCAGAGTCTGGAATAGCTCATTAAAAATCCCAAGCCTTCTTGGACTCAATATTCCCAGGAGAGAGCAATTTGCGAAGATGGCTAAAACATTCCCAAAGAAACAATCATTCTCTGAAGCACTCTCATCCATGGATGTCATATCTCCTAAAATGCCAAAAATATCTTCTAAGAGTCAGATGAGTCCCCACAAGCCATCCTCTACCATCCCTGCTCCCAAAGATTATCAATCTTCCACCCAAAGCTCTCAAGGTTCCATGTCAGATTCCAAAAAGTCAAGAAAATCTAGCAAATCTATAAGATCAAAAAAGCATTCATGTAACTCTCATCCCAAGAAGCCAAGGAAGTCTGGCAAAACTGCAAAATCCCATGGGTATTCCTCAAGCCCATCTCCCAAAAAGCCTAAGAAATCTGGCAAGTCCTCAAAAACTCCAAAATCTGCTATAGTCCAAACAAAACAGAAATCCCGGAGAGGCTCAAAATCCCATTCAGGAGGCTCCAACAGGATATTTACTGGGGAGAAGCGGATGATGGTTGTTCTTGAAAGAGTGGGAGCGAAGCGGCTGAAGACACTTGGAGAGCAAAGACAACCCACAAAAGAGATAGAACTGAGGAAAGAACTGGGATATGAATCTGATGAAACCATTATCATGGATGAACACTCTAGTAGTACAAACAACAAAGAACCAACAAAGGCTGAAGGAATTATTCCAAAGAAGATTGAGGCATCTGCGAGGAATGAAGTGAATTTGGACAATTTTATAAAGGCCAATGGTGAACAATTTCTCCCAATAGATTATTCCATCAAGAAGTGACTCTATATAAGAGTATGAACTTTTAAAAAATCTGTGTTTGGGACAAACACCTTTTTAAGAAGGGGGATAATGTAAAAAACCCGGAAGTAGATAGTCAAATATCAGTTATGTTTCAGACAATTACTTACGTTTATTTCAGCAAATGTTCTACATCTTTCTGTTTACTTTGTTTATATGTATATTCTTGCTGCTGTAATTCGATCTGTAACTCTCTATTTAGCTTGTAAACTTCACTTGATTTTCTTAACTGAAATTTTGTAGAACTTTTAATGGCAGCCATGTGTTTTTCATGACAAGAAATGTTTTGACTAACTTTAAAATGTAGAAAACGATAATTTGATTTGAGTAGAGTATTCAAGTAAGTATATATATTTTATGCATCCTTTTATAGTATTTTTGATAAATATTTTGACTATATTTTTGTACAAATTTCAGATATTTTATGAACTAACTATATGTACACAGTGGTCTGTCATGGAAAAGCAATTAATCATTGCTATCTTGGATTGGTTGAGAAAACGCCCTAAAGTTATTGCTGATATTACAATTTATATTTAAACACTTTCCAAGTCTAATTTTGGATTTAATTCCAAGGAAATAGGGAAAGGGAATCCTTATGGAAGCACAGAAGGTAATTATGTAAAACAAAGCCTGCTATTCTTTGGTTTATTGGAGGAAAACAAGAAATCCAGAAACAGTGACCTACATTCTGGTAGGTTAACGCCCTAAATTCCTTTCCCAAACCTTTACTCCAATATTCCTTCCATTCTTCTTTTAACTTATTCTGAGGGAACCCATTTTGACTTTTAGAACATTTCTCTCTGCAATTTGAGCCTAAAATCTAAAACTTTAACCAACTTTATGCCAAAAAACTTTGTCTTCAATTTATTCTGGAGACTTTGCCATAAAACTTCATATTAGTTCTGCCGCCATCTTGCTTTGTATTTGTTTGAAACATGAAATGATGACAGTATAATACTCTTGAAGAACTTATATCTTTCATAACACATATTATACAGCACACTATAACTAGGTGTACACAGCCGAAAGTGTGGAGTTGTGCCAAACTTTTATATTACATAATATATAACCTTAATTATAATCAGGTGTACACAGCCAAAAGTGTGTAGATGTGCCAAATACCATAGTATACATTCTAGTCAAAAATTTACCCCAATAAATTCACTTGCCTTGATTGGCCGATGAAATTAACTTTCCAGAAATTCCTAAGTGCTTGCTTTAATTAGCCGTCACTTATCCCCAAGGTGATTCCTTACCTTAATTGTGTCGGGAACAGTTAGATTTTTTTCATTTCACTTTTCAATTACAGTTTGTTTATGTAAATCTGAATTAAAACATTACGGACCACTGTTCTTTACAGAAAAGAACATATTTAATCATATTATATATTTTATATACCTCATATTCAATCACAAGTATTATTGAGTAAGCCATAAGAGTAACGTTTTTAAGTGGAAATCTCAGGACAGTATAAGTATTAAATTTTGTGAGTGAATAAACTCAACTACCTCATTCACAATCATAAAGTTCTCAATTTATACATTCAAGTTTACAAAGATCACAGTATTTTTATACTATTGTATTGTCTTACATACTAAAGGAAAAAATTATATATTTTATATTTTTATACTACAATAAATAAAGGAGATCTATAATTAGGTAGCTGAAAATATTTGTCTGTTTTTCATTGTTGAATTGGACTAGGAAGAAAGTGACATTATAAAAATATTGCCCACACAAGTAAACAAACACCCTAATTATTACCATCTATAATACACTTCACACAAGGTCGCCCCAGGTTTGTTTCAAAATGTAACATATAATATATCCATTCTTGATTAGATAGGCCTAAATGATAATAAGAGTTGATCGCGATATTAGTATAAACCTTTCGATAGTGCTTATTATGAATTCATCCAGTGAATAATGACATTTCAGGGTGGAGTCCAGTTTGTTTCTGATTCAAGATGCCTAACCTATAGATACATGTATGGAAAACGTCCAATTATCTGTGGTTTTTGTTTGGTATGGGAACACATTGAAATTTGACAGATTGGAATGGGAACATATTGATATTTAAGTGTTCAGCCTAGGACCAAGACAAATTTTCTATACAGACGTGAATCCCCCGAGACTGCTTGGAGTTGAACTCATCTAAAAATAATTGAAAAATTATGCAACGATTTTATTTCACGTTTCCTATTAAATTCCATTGCAATGAATATGCCATAGAATCCACAATGTTTCCCTGAATTGTATACTTACATGATGTTGCTCTATATGTGTACAAAGGAGTAGATTTAAACGATATTCTCCAAAAATTGTGCAGAACTTGATTTCGAAAATTTTCACTTCCTACTTCCGGTGAACTACAGCGCCTCCTTTTGTGGAATTTATGAATAAATATTAATTCATGTAATTGGATTGCAACAATGTATTATTTCACTTTCTGATTAAACAAAATAATTGAATTATCCTTAAGGGGCATCCATACATTTTGACATTCCTACAAATCAATAAAGCTAAATAGTTTGCTCCAGTGAATGTAGAATGCTCTGTGAATAATGTCAACAATTATTGACATCTATCAGTTCTAGAGCTACAGGTACCGAATCATCTTTCAATTATGATAGGGGCATTTAACCTACAACTGAATGTGTAGGTTTTTATATTTGAAATGTTTACTTTGAAAATTCCAAATAATGGAGTTTTATGTGTAAACCTAAAACATCTTGATACATGGGCGTAGCCAGGGGGGGTGCGATGGGTGCAATCGCACCCCCCCCCCCACCCATAACCTTTGAAAGTATGACCATTGGATAGAGGTAGAAAAGAGCTTTAAAATGCTTTTTATTTGAAGCTTCTAGCTCAATTTTGAAGGAAGTTGCATCAATTTTTGTAAAATTCAAAAGAAATCTTAATTTTTTGTGTTGCTTATGGCAAAATCGCACCCCCCCTGACCGAAAACTGAAAAATTTTCGGCGATCGCACCCCCCCCTGACTGAAAGCTGGCTACGCCCCTGTTGATATGAGCTAAAAGTCTGGCACAATCTTTCATGAAAATTAGGCTAGATTATCACAATGTCAAGATGTGTAAATAAAATCTTCTTTTTTAAATTCACCATTTAGATTTTCAACCATACACAAAATACATAGTGTTGAACATTTTTGATGAAGATTTTGAGTCTATTTAATCATGTGATTTAATTCACTCTTAATTTCACAAGTACTTACTAGATCCATTGCCCTACTTTATAATAATGTGCATCTCTTGGAGAAATTTTTGAAAAAATTGTCAAATACATGTTTTTGAACCCATTTAAAGCAGATATGAAATGGTATATTTAACCTAAAGGAATCAATATAATTTTTTGATAAATGTAATTTGACATGTTTTCTCATCAGTAGTGTGAAAACTATTTCACTCTAACGATCGTTATAGCTGCTTAATAAGCAATATTCGAATTGGTTGTGACGTTATTGGCCCCCACGTGATCTCTCACTGGTCCCCATGTGGCCCGTTTTGGTCCATTAGATGATAACGTCATAATGCCAAAATGTTTTGTTATTTGTTTACACTACAATCCTATGGTTGCCGTGACGTTGTGATTACTAAGGAACCAATAAACCAAAGCTATATTTTGTATATGACGTTACTAATCACGTGGGGGCCAATTTAAATGATCAGTTAGTTTTATTTCGTTATTTATGACCGTTAGCAGTTATCTAACATTTATTTTATAATGGTTATCGCAAGAACTCTACGGTGGGCTTACAATGGAGAAAACCGCATTTTTGTAGCTGCAAGTTGAGAAAAGCTATTTCAGTTGTCCTTTAACTATTAAAAAGCAACAAAAGCTAACTTCTTTCCTTGATGTGTTTTATTTGCTCTTTACAAAATAACTTACAATATAAGTTTCATAATATTACCCACTAAAAAATTTTTAATGAAATTTATGTGGTTTTCTACTTCCTTTACTGAACAGTAACATTTGATATCGTGTTAATGTAATACTCTAAAACATGTACTGGATTATTAACAATCTAATAATCAAACTTTAGTACCAGCTTTTTGTCATTTCGTCATTCATTAATACAAGACTTGAAGTCAATTTAATTTGATTATCCTTAACACTTTCAGTACAATAATTCAAGTAAACTTTGATGATCATCAGAATTTCTGGCACAGTTACAATTAAACTGTGTTTGATAATTCTCAGTTTATCTGGCATAATAATCCAAGTAAACTTTTGTTTGATAATTCCCGTTATTTCTTGCATAATAATCTAAGTAAACTTTTGTTTGATAGTCCCCAGTATATTTCGCATAATAATCTAAGTAAACTGTATTTGATAATCCCCAGTATATCTGGCATAATAATCCAAGTAAACTGTGTTTAGTAATCCCCAGTATATCTGGCATAATAATCCAAGTAAACTGTATTTGATAATCCCCAGCATATCTGGTATAATAATCCAAGTAAACTTTTGTTTGATAATCCTCAGTATATCTGATATAAAAATCCTAGTAAACTTTTGTTTGATAATCCCCAGTATTTCAGGCACAATAATCCAGGTAAACTTTTGTTTGATAATCCCCAGTATATCTGGCACAATAATCCAAGTAAACTGTATTTGATAATCCTCAGTATATCTGATATAATAATCCAAGTAAAGTTTGTTTTATAATCCCCAGTATTTCGGGCACAATAACCCAGGTAAACTTTTGTTTGATAATCCTAAGTATATCTGACATAATAATCAAAGTAAACTGTGTTTGATAATCCCCAGTATTTCTGGGATAATAAGCCAAGTAAACTTTACTTGATATTCTTCCATGTTTGTATTTGCACAATAATCCATATCTAATTTTATGGCTTGATAATCCTAAATAAGTTTTCACAATAATCACTTGAAAATAATCCCATGCGTAGACTATTCTCAAACTTTACAAATTCCAATATTTACACGTATATAAAACATCAGAAATCTAGCGTGGGCTTAGATGTAAATTTCTTTGTTGCCCTATCAGCAGGTCTGAAGGCAAAATGTTTTCCATACATTGTAAACTGGATGTCATCAATGATGAACGTGAATACACAATTCTCTTTTGGTAAAGCTGCAATGAAAAATGAAACGAAATATAAATGAATATCATGTAGAAACATTTACATTTACAAACAATATAAGCACAAAATCTTTAAAATATACTGAGATTATACAAAATTGGGCATCTGGTACAGTTTTAATGGGGTCAATTTCTTCCAACAATATAAATTTACTAATCTGCAAAAAATGTTCTATTTCAGATTTACCAAATTAATTACAATTTGAATGTTTTCACCGCAAATATACCGAATTATTTCTCAGCCATTTATTCTAAAATAAGCATTATGCAGACGGTTGCAGTCTGCTACGGACAATGAACACTGAAAATTGGCCATTAGTGTAGATCTTTCTTTAAATGATCAGCACCACATCTACACTCTACTATACCAAACACCTAGAAATGCATAAGATACTCTGTTTGTCCAATTGTATTGTTTAGTATATTTTTGAACGTGCCTTAGTAACATCTAACATTCAACCGATAAACCATTAATAAGGAACAGACAAATAAAAATAAATACATAATCATTACTAATAAGCCAAATGGGTTGCTCATGAACACCAAATGCAAGGTATAGTAGAGTGTTATTATCACATTGGCATTCAAACGAATAGTGCTGTGAATACAAACATCAAGTCTTTAGCAACTCTCAAACAATGCAAGTAATACTTACTTTTTATTTTATCATCTTTAGTTATGATCTTGAATGTGTTTTTAGTTTCTTGTATGATGATTCCAGTTAGGCCTACATATGACGGACATTTAGACTTAGTAACAGTTGCTAGGCAGCCGTGATAATCAGCTCTCAACATTGCATGATCGTTGGCTTTAACTGGTATATTGTTCAAACTGAAAATAATACATTTAGGCAAAGTACAATATTTAATGCATTTATATTAAAAATATGAAGAAGTCATGGATATACCATCCAAATATTAACAAAGGGCCAGGCAAGGCACCACGATATTCTGTAAGTGACAACCTAAGAAGTTGGATTTAGGAAAATATGAGAATGTGACCTACAAACAAAAATGAAAACAAAATTCAGCATACTCAACATATTCCCTACTAACTTCGCGATGATTCATTTCATGAAGTTATGAAACCAGTGTTTCTCGTAAACAGAAATACAAGAGAATCTAAAGAATACTATGATATGCTGTCCTTACTTGGGTTTAGGCAAATCTTTGTTTTTCACAATTAATTTCAATTGGTGCCGTAACATATGAACAAAAGATGGAGTTTCTAATTACACACATAAAATCAAAAGAATTCACCGAAAATAGTATGAAATATTTGTTTTATTATTCACTGTTATATTCACCACTCTCTTACTATTTAGAATGTCTTGGGAGAACATGAGTTATCAGATTTTTTCGCATCACTTTCAGATTTACACTGGACGAAAAGTAAAGGCATGCCTGTTGAATACGCCCATTAAATAACCTTTTTTCTGACGTCACTGGCATTGCCATGAATATGTCTTCTTATTTTTTGTGTCATGTATGAAAAGTGGAGAATATAATGACATAATAATGATATCTATTTTTAAAAACTGTGAAATCAAATGCTTTATAAATAAGATAAAATAACAGGGTACATTTCTGAGATAGATTAGAGATACATGTATATAAATTGCACTTCAGTCGATGTGTTAATTGGTGTTTTCATAGGTTGCCCCTTGTACTTCTGAACATTCCTTATTTATCTTAAGAAAACCAGAGGGCAACATTTGAAAAATAAAACTAAAACCCTACAAGCCATATGAAGTATGAATCACATTTAGCTATTGCCACATTATACCTTTTAACATTGATGATAGATCTCATATAGTCCAACCACATCTCATGCATCTGGATGTACATTGAGTATCTGAAATTATATAATGAAATATAATGATCGATTAACCTTTAAAGGCCCCATGCAAAGTTTGAAAATATAGTTTAAACTTTACATGGTGCCTTTAACATAAACTTTACAATACTAACATTGATGAGATAAGAACATAAAGTAGAGATAATAAAAAAAATATTTTCACAACATGTTCATTCAATTTAGAAGAAGATACATGAACTTGAATTACAGTTTATTTGCTGTCCAGTGACCTTATTTATCCATTAAAATGGATATGGGAAAATATTTGAAATACTACACTTAAATGCTCCTTAGCCTATTTGCTGTCTTCCTGTATCTATATTCAAAATATACAGTAGTAGTGGTAAGTAGTAAGTATATTAAAAATTTACACATACTTTTGGTTTTCAGCTTGAGGTTTATACAATTTGAGTTTCTTGCGTTCCTTGCAGGTCAGACCTCTAAGCTTTCTTTTGTTAAATCCATCTGTCTTCACTTTCTTCACATTGTCCAGCATTTGACACTTGGGGAAAACATAATAATTTGTATATAATTGTTTCCAAACAATAGTACAGTATGTAATAGTTTTTACATAATACTCTATACATAATAGTTTTTACAATAGAAACTTGCCCAAATGTTAAATGTGGAAGAATGGAGTTTCATTAGGGAGGGTAGAAAGTAATACACAAGAAACAGAGATTTTTAAAAAAGCCAAGTGGAAGGCAACCCCAAATTTTTAAATTAAACAGGGGAGGGGGTAAGCCATAATGATTATGTTTTTTCACAATTGTCTATATTTGGACATTGTTCCCAAAGTATCAATGTCAATCCATGTGCCACAATAAAGCAAACTAACGTAATAGTAATTGAGAGTTGAGACATGACTGTATTCATTCCCAGCACAATTGAACCACATTACAGCAATCCTTGCATATGAGCCATTTTGTATTTCATATTTGTAAGTGCATAATTCTAATATGAAACATATTATACACGTTGAATAAAAGGAAGGGGTCTGGTCAGTGATGGATTTAAGGGACTATATTCGCAAATTGTGATATTCATGAAGTACCTTATACTGTAGTTCTTCTTGTTGCAGGGCAGGTTTGAACTTTGGGTTTATATGTCTCCTGAGGAATGCTCCCACGACAACCCTATCTGAAGTGTCACCTTTCTGAAATAATTGTATACAGTATTCAGGTATTGTACATGTGGGGATATTGTATTGTACATATTCAGGTATGATACATGTTCAGGTATTGTACATGTTCAGGTATTGTACATGTACAGATATTGTACATGTATTGTACATGTTCAGGTATTGTATATGTTCAGGTATTGTACATGTATAAATGTTGTACATGCACAGGCATTGTACATGTTCAGGCATTGTACATGTTCAGATATTGAAACATGGAAATGAAAAAAATAACTGACACAATGTTTTTCAACATTTTTTACTTCATAGATCTGTTGATAAATTCTGAAATCAGGTAACAGTTATTTTTAAAACTGTAATTCCTGTTAAGTTTAATGATAGTATAGGCGTACATGTAGCTCTGACTAACAGACACTGACTGACTATCTGCCAGTATAATCAAAGAAAACTTCAAAAATATGTACCTGCAGTCCAAGCCTTCCTCTGTAATCATCAACACTGTCTGGCAGAGAAGCATTCACAGATCCTGAAAACATAGAAAAGTTTAAAACAAGAAACTGCACCATACCTGGGCACCACTCTCTTTATTGTCATAATCTCCTTAAAGTTGATTGATGACCTTTATCATTATTATGATACATGTAGAACTAACTGACCCAATAGCACTACTTTGACCTACATGTACATGTGTCACTGAATGTCTACTTGCTTATACCTGTAGGTGCATACAGTGTACATCAAGGAGGATTGGCTCCCAGAATGCAACACCGATATTCTGCAAAACAATCACCTAGCGATAGCTTTGTTGGAGAGTATCGGGTCATTCTCCATGCAGTCGTACAAATTATACAGACACGAATAGCAAATGACGCATGCGTGGAGATTAAAGAATATCGAGTTGGAACCCTGGCTTCCAATCCTCCTTGGTGTACATGTAGGCCCAGGAACACATATAATAAAAAATTGAGATGAATACACCAATCAAAGAGAAATATACATTAAGTGAAGAGATAACACTTTACCTAGTGTATTCAACTTGATTTTCAAACGTGTTCCCGGGCCTACATTAGTATGTATCCAACAGACCGAATATAATATTCGGTCTGTTATGATTGATATATTTCCTGTGGAAATCGCGGTGATATTTTTTGCACATTAATTTCTCGTTTATTATAAGAATGTTCACCTTGAAAATTGGTGAATATGTTGAAGAGATGTTCATCTTAAACTAGAAGCAAAAATATTTGTATAAGGCGGGTACAAGTTGATATAAAATAATGAAATGTTCAGACTCACCGAAACTTCAGGATGTGTTCATAAGTAGATCGCGAAATCAATGTCAAGGACGTTTGAGTTCACGAGATCCAAACGAGATATGCAAATTTTGAACTTTGACAACACATGACCACTTGATTACCTCGGCCTTCTTCATGAATATTTCCGCTCTATTTACTATAAATGAAGAAAATTAATCGGGATAATGATAATAAATGACTAGATCTAGACTAATAAATTCCCGCACAAATGGAATTTAGCAATACGCTTCCGTAATGGAGACCCTATCTGTTGCAAGACTAACGCCTGGCGTAACCGTCACTATGTTATTCAGTGTTTTTTAAGTAGCGCAAGGATCCTGCCATGACCGTGGTAATGTTATCGTGAAAGCCTGGTATAACCGCGACAATGCAGTATTATATTGCAATGCCTGCCATGACCGTGACAATGTAATATAGTTCTGCAAGGCTTGGTATGACCGTAACAATGTAATATAGTACTGCAAAGCCTGGCATGACCGTGACAATGTAATATAGTATTGCAAGTTCAGGTATGAGAGTGGTAATGTAGAAATTTACGATTAGGACTGCTATAACCGTGACAATGTGTATTGCAAAGCCTGGCATGACCATGCCAATGTAATATAGTATTGCAAGGCTTAGTATGACCGCCATGGTAATGTGATATAGTATTCCAAGTTCGGGTATGAGAGTGGTGATGTAGAAATTTATGATTGCTATAATTGACCGTGACAATGTGTATTTGAAAACCTGGCATGACCATGACAATGTATTATGGGATCGCAAAGCCTGGTATGACCGTGACAATGTAATATAGTATTGCAAGGCCAGGTATGAGGGTGGTAATGTAGAGATTTAGGCTTAGTTCTACTATGACCGTTATAATGTATTGCAATGACTAGTAAATATGTATGACATTAATGCCAGGAATATCCTTAACAATTTTAAGTGATCCTCATTACAATTAAACAGTTTAATACTATGATCATGGTGTTTAACTACCTTAATCATGTCAAAATCAAAATTACTACTATACATAAATATTCACATTCGGTTATAAACCACAATAAAGGCTACGGTCGCGCCAGGCTTCCACGATAACACTTCCAGGGTCATGACAGGCCTTGCAATAGAATACACATTGTCACGGTTATACCAGCCTGTCACGGTTATACCAGGCTTACACGATAACACTACCACGGTCATGGCAGGATCCTTGCGCTACTTAAAAAACACTGATTAACATGGTGACGGTTGTGACAGGCGTAAGTCTTGCAATAGATAGCATGTGCCGTAATGTTGCTCCCGCTCCACGTGTTATTTGTTTACAAATAGACTGACGTCACTGGCTAAATCTCGTTTATCGTGAGAATTGGCATTGCCAAAATGGCTTGACCAAGGGGCTTGACCTAATCAATGGCTTCGCTACAAGAAGCGTCTGTACATTTTATGAATATCTTCAGTAAGAGGACAATATACGAAAAAATAATATTGTGAGTTCTTTATAAGGTAATCATTTTATCATTAAACAAACTTATTTGTAACATTTATACAACACCACATTTCACAATAGGTGACTTACAGTCTGAATATTTATTCAGACGAAGGATACAGTCTAGGGCCTACATGTACTGTACATCAACAGTAGGCCCAGTACCGATCATAGTTGCCGACGTATATGTTCTGATCAATGCATCGAATTGGATGCACCAATGCACTGATAGATGCACTGAGAATGAGACTCGAGGTGACCTGCACTGTACATGTGTGCACTAAGCAAGTCTACCTCTGCAGTAGACATTCAGTGAAAAATGCATTGACAAAAGAGATCATATGTAATAGTAATACAAACGTATATATCATTACTACTTTATCACTACTCATTACGCTCACTTAGCTTATTACTATAAGTTTTTATAAGTTTTGAGAAAAAATATGGGCGATAATAGAGAGAAACGTGTGATTTTCATGTTAACATACACTTACCTTCCAATTTATTGACTTCCATTTTGGAAAGAAAGTAAGGTAACCTAAAGTAGCATTCGCAAACACTTTGAATCAAGAAATGTATGAATTAAATACATAAAACAATGATAACTTCTTTTACTTGGTTACTTTTTCTAACCGGAAGTAATTGTCAAGGTCAGGTCAAAGTTGAAAATGTCTTTCCTGCGAAAATCGTACTGCTTTGGTGAGTTATTACTTCTTTGTTGTTACTATAACTAATGTATAACATGATTTAATTTTGGAACATTAGATACATGAATATACAAGGCACTTGTTGCGTTTAATTTTATTCAAATCTTTGATTTCACAGTTGCATATTTTCACTTTGAAAATCGACAAATCACTTCGTCTTTCTTTCTTGATTTTCAATCTGTAAAAAAGCACGTAGGCCATTGTTTATGTTATGTTTGCAGAATGTTATCTACATACTTATGTTTACTTAGTCCAGTTAAACTTGTTATAACTTGTTATTGGCATTCACTTAGTCAATCAACTGGTTCTTATCCTGTATCAGTGGGGAGTTGTTGTTGTTGATATTGATTAGAGGGCCACATGATATTGCATTGTCATCAAATTGTCTAGTCCAACAACATTAGACCTAGCCCGGGCCTCGTTTCTTATCTGACATGTGTTATGGCCCGGCTAGGTCTAACCTCCATGACCATTTTGCCTTTGATGCGTTAATTTAATCGTTCAGCAGGTTTCGACAAGCGGAACAACTTAAACCCTGAAAACATGGCAATATTACACAAAGAATGTGATTCAAACATGCATACATACCTTATAAACACATACACCCCGTCCCGTATCCCCCTTAGACCCTATTGATGCATAATTAAGAAAATATTGGAGACAGGTTTGGAATATGACGAAAATGTCGGTCAGTTTCGGTAACATCGAAATTGCAAATCGTTTCAGGAATTAACCGTCATCAAGGCACTGCATCCTCAAAATTGATCTTTTTATCCCGAGTAATCGCGATAATAATTATCAATCTATTTGACAACAATTTCGTTTTGCTGGTAGTTTAATTTAACGATCCGGGACACTCAGACGAACAGACACAATGACAGACATGCGGAAATGTCACTTTAGAGATTGGTAAGTGTAGCCTCATTTTACTCGTATAAATGAACATTTAACACAAAAATATTGTGTTAAATCGCTTGATGTTATGTGTTTTTATATTATTGTCAAGTATCAGTTGCACGTTATCGCGGAAAAATGGTTTCGATCAATAAGGGCCCCAAGAAAATTCCTAATAATAAAGAACGCCGTTATTGAGTTTAACGACGTTGAACTACAAATTGTCATGTACTGTATCATCTGCTGGAGTTACACTATGTGCCTAAGGATTAACATGCTTTAGATTCAGGTGCTATATACAATGGCAGTTTTAGAAAAGTGCCTTTGTAAACCAATTAAAGTGATGACAAAATATAACCCGAAACGTCATGTATTTGGTATATTTTCTTGAATTTTAATTGATGTCCTTAACACTCCCAGACTGCTGAGATATATGCACTGTAAATTATATTTACCAAAATGAATGTCTCCAATGATTCATACCAGCATATATGCATGGTGCATTTCTCTCAAGTCTGAGTCCACATTTAGATGTCTATGTCAGTAATCTGCATATAAAGCAGATATATAATTTAACAGTGATAGAATTTGAATAGAATATAATCTAAATCCTTAACATTTAAAAACAGATCTATGGTTTACAACTCAATTTTTGAAAGGAAACTTCCTTGTTAATCAAATGAAGTACAAATTGGATTGTAATCGATTGTAGGGGCAATCTCAGCCAGATTTGTTTTTTATGGTAAATTGTCAGGAGTGAATAATTCTCATGCGTAAATATCAAATAATCTGATTGGTTATACTTATAGTCAAGCATGCACAGGTGTACTCACTTTGTAGTTATAGTGTTACCAGCAGCACTATGGCGTTCACTTAAAATGCTCACTGCTGGGATTGCATTATACTCTTTGTCCAAGATCAACACTAAATTAAAAATTAAAATAAAAACTAAATTAAAAATTAAAAAGTGTCATGGTTAGTGAACATGCTCATGTTTTTCATTTAAATCGACAAAATATAACCCGAAACGTCATGTATTTGGTATATTTTCTTGAATTTTAATTGATGTCCTTAATACTCCCAGACTGCTGAGATATATGCACTGTAAATTATATTTACCAAAATGAATGTCTCCAATGATTCATACCAGCATATATGCATGGTGCATTTCTCTCAAGTCTGAGTCCACATTTAGATGTCTATGTCAGTAATCTGCATATACAGAGGTAAAGCAAATATATAATTTAACAGTGATAGAATTTGAATAGAATATAATCTAAATCCTTAACATTTAAAAATAGATTTATGGTTTACAACTCATTTTTTGAAAGGAAACTTCCTTGTTAATCAAATGAAGTACAAATTGGATTGTAATCGATCGTAGGGGCAATCTCAGCCAGATTTTTTTATGGTAAATTGTCAGGAGTGAATAATTCTCATGCGTAAATATCAAATAATCTGATTGGTTATACTTATAGTCAAGCATGCACAGGTGTTCTCACTTTGTAGTTATAGTGTTACCAGCAGCACTATGGCGTTCACTTAAAACGCTCACTGCTGGGATTGCATTATACTCTTTGTCCAAGATCAACACTAAATTAAAAATTAAATTAAAAAGTGTCATGGTTAGTGAACATGCTCATGTTTTTCATTAAATCATTCTTGTTAGTATGAAAGCATAAAATCAGTGAATGCTATTTTGATCGGGTATCAACCATTTGATCAACCATATTCTCCATATTCTGATTGGTCAAAGCTAGATCAAAAGATTTGCTCTAATTCAAAGTGAAGATGACAAAACTGTAATCAACTTGTTATTTACTCGGACCAGACATAAAATCTGATGCTTCCATCTTTTTAAAGTTGTCTTTTTTTACCTTAAAACAATGCATCAATGAAGCTCTACTTGAACCTGATTTATCACTCAATACTTTTAATTTTCTTTCCATTAAAAGATGTCTCTTGATAAATTGAAAATCATGTCTTTGTGAAGCCACAGTTAGCTAAATAACTTATGATGCACCTCATGTTTTTGATTAGATGTCACTACTTGTATGGTACCGAAAATGATATTCAAGAAATGTCTTCCTTACATGTAGGTTTCATTGGTATATGAAATCAGTTGGTACACTGCCAATCTGCAACGGTTCCGTACGTACCATAATCCAATGGTACCATACTCCAATGGTACCTTGTGGTACCATACTCTTAATGTACCACACGGTACCATGATTTCAGAGTGCAGATTGGGGTGTAGTTTATCCATCTCCCCTTCTGCCAACATGATAACAATTGCATGGCAGAATCATACTTTTGGTTGTTCATTGCTCATGACAGGACAATATGATACCCACAGTGTAAAGTACATGTATATTTACTTGTCAGTAAGGGTGATAAATATTATTTTTTCTCACACTGTCATAAGATGAACTCAGATCATCAATAGAGAAGTTGCACAAGTATTTTATTATTGAAGATTATAATCAGTAACAGAATGCCCTAGTGGAAGTTTTCCCTTCAATAATGTTTCAGGAAACAGGATGTGCAATTTTTAAATCTTTTCATTTGAAGGTGATGGGCAGTCAGTTTGGACACCTGTAAAGAAAAAATGCCTTAATGCTGTTCTTCACAAATATACCAAAGTAAAACAGCTGAATTTTATAATGCTTATAGTTTTTGTTTGATTGATTGTGTTAACTTTTTGTTTACCTTGCAAAAAAGAAGAGGAAAGAGATCAAAGGAATAGGATGAGGAATAGTTTGTATACAAACAGCCACAACTTCTGTCTTGTGGACCTACATTGTAAGATAAAGAGGCACTCAGAATGGATGAGGCATACACTTCTGTCTTGTGGACCTACATTGTAAGATAAAGAGGCACTCAGAATGGATGAGACATACATGTACCTGTATTTTCTTAAAGAGATGTATATGTAGAAATGTACATAGGGAATGTTAAAAACTTGATTCATTCATTCTAGCCTAAATCAAGTTGAATCAGAAAATGTTGTTTATAAATGTATCCTTGAATTTATATTCTGGGGTTAAAAGTAATGATGGGGAAGGGAAGTTTTGCACAGTTCCCCAAGCTTTAAAACAATTTTTTTTATTTTACTGTACAGTGTACCTGTAAAGCCTCATGCAAGCTGGCAAATCTTCAAACTCCTGAACATTTCCTCAATGAAACTTTGCCAAAAAAAAAGTATGAAATTTGTGTTTTGTTTTGAACACATCAGTTTTATTTATGTTTTTTTGTGATAACTGTACCGATAAAAAGAGTAGAATCTGTGTCTAAATACTGCTACATCAATGGTTGATTTTAAACACACCTCATCCCAGGGCCCATGTCTCTTTCTCAGTCATGACCAACAGGTAATTCAAGAAAAATGCTAATATTGATCATCAATCACAATATATTCAACATCATGTTTGTCTTGTAGACATGTGTTCTGTTCTTGTTGTTTGTGATAAAGATAACAGCCATAAGAAGTAAAGTAGCCTTTTAACAGAGATAAAATCAAGGATGTTGTATTAGCATGTTCATTATAAACATCTGTATATTTTATTGATTATCAAGTCTGGTTACAACAAGAAAATGCAGCAAACTCCTCGTAGTCGAGATGTCCAAGTCAAAAAGTTGCCTAGCCAGCCCTGACCATCGGTTGATTATCCCAATTGTTTTATATCAACCGATTCACTGTTCATCAAAACAGAAACCATATGCTTGTTTGTTTTGTTGCTGGTTAGGTACCCTGCCTATGACATCACAGATGATCGAACAAACTTTAAACCAATCAGTGAGGTCTAGATTATTTGTTTAGTTGTTGATGTCACAGATGACTTGGATCACGCCATTTTATGATATTGCATAATTTTAGCTAATCTTGGCTTCATTTGAAGTTATATATAGGACTTCTAAAAATATAATTATGGGTCAGTATTTTAAAAAAAAATTATTATGTTTGAATTTGAGGTTAAAATCTGAAAATTTGATCGAATGGTTTAAATCAAGGTGGAAGGAGGTGAGGAAGTGTTAGTTGCTACGCTCCTACTTTGAGCTGCCCTTGGCAGAGGAGACCTTGAAAATTTAACGGATATTTCTTGGAAAAGTGACTTCAAATTTTGTTGCTATTATATTTTGTGAATTTAACAAAACTCACAAACTACAGTACATGTATAGTGCCACGCAACAATTACTGGGAGTACAGTACAGCCAGAAATGATCAGATTATGATTAAAATGTCAAAAAGTTATATTTCTGGTATGTTTTAGTGAGCCGGGCCATTGCTCTGCACAGCACATCTCTGACAAAGAGAGTCTGTCATCCAAGATTGCTATATTCTAGTCCACGTCGACTGTTCTCTGATGATACTGGGGAGAAGAAGTTTGATGTGTCAACACTAAAGGACCTTGTCTGCCCGCTGACCAAAAAACCTTTAAGGTAAAGTGTAGGGCTTATTCCTTATGTCATTTAACCATGGGCTTTCAATATTGAATAAATATATTATGCACAAATAAATCCCATTACATTGAGTGATAAACAGTTTTAAAGTTGGTCAATTTTTATGTATATTTTTAAATTTGATGATTACAAAATTTTATACCATTTAAAATGTGTTCAGTAAAAGAAATTATCTGATCAATACAAGAAAGCACACTTCACGTTGCATGATTTTTTTTTAACATGGGCTCTATGGAATATCTACCCACAACCTAGGAATTACATTTCAAAAATTAATATCTAAAAGTTGAATATTTCCATTCCAGGTATGACCCTGAGACAAATGAGCTTATAAGCGATGATATAAGCGCTGCCTACCCGATTATAAATGGTATTCCTAATCTAACCCCCGAGGATGCACGTCACATGAACTCTGATATCGACCCTGAAGATGAAAATGTACGCAATATTAAAGACAGAGACTAACCAATTAATACATATTTAATTCTCGGACTATTTAGTTGAAAATTGGGCAGATATTGTATTATTGGGGATAAAATTGATTATCTGGAAAATTTTGAATCATGTCATGATCTAAGATTGGGCATTACATGTATTTTATTTTGTGCCAAGAAGTTGTTGTGGAGCTTTAAAAAGCTGTGAAAGTTTAAAGTTTGAAATCGTATATGCTTAGTTCAGCATTATAATAAAAAGTGCAGTGGATGAATTGAATATGTTCAAGAATGATAAACAGGACAGGTGCTAGGTTGATATGCAAACAATTGAACAATGTTGGTTAAGATGGCACTTAGACATGTATTTGAATGTTCCACAAAGGTTAAGTTTAGAGTAAAGGGACCTTTTGTTTTCATGAATTTGCATGTATATAAACTAAAGTCTAGGCATTAATATAAGAAGGTTAGTAGCATTGCAAATTGTATACAGCATTATGTGTATAGCTTGGTCTGATTTGGGTATTTCAGATTCATAATGATTTTAGGATTCATGTTTTTTGATTCTGGTAACTGAATATTCCTAAATGGAAATCTTTAAGTTGCATTGTACTGTGTTGTTTGCAATTTAGACTATGTGTTGTTCGCAAAATATAGTAAACAGTGTATATGTTGTTTGCATTCTATACTACTAGCTGAGACTAACATACTAGTATGCGTTGTTGTAAAGTTATACTATGATAGTATGTGTTTATTGTGTTGATTAAGTATGAAAGATGGTTTGTTAAAACTTGTTTATCAATTAATATACATGTAGAGCTAAGGATGAATAAAATCAAAAAGAAGAATGACAAACAACAAATGCACAACCAAAATGTGGTTAGTTGGCAAACTAATGGTTGACCCAAAGAAGCTGGATAAATACAATCAAAATTATGTAATATCTGTGTATAAAAGTTCAGATATAAATCAAAAATGATAAAAAATTTAAATTTAAATTGTTACATTTATTTCTTCTAGTTAGTGTGTTTATTTACACAATATGAAATATTTTTATATTTTTCATTAATTGTCAGTTTTCTCATCATGATTGACACTAAACAAAATATTGATGTTCATTTTATTGTTTTGGCCTGTATGTAGAATAAAATATATTCTGTAAGAAATGTCTCTTATGTTGTTTAATTGCTTTCTTATTCTAGCCTTTATTTGTATCTGAATTTATCAAATAAGGCATAACCAGTATAATCATAAAGATTTCCATTTTTGTCATAATAATCAATAACAAACAGATTTAAACACATATTAAAAAATATCAAGGGTAATTTACAGTGAGTGGAATACCCATCGTTCACCATTGGTTTATCCTAATCTCATTCATATAATGTTAGCTCCTTATTAGGATCAGATATTGGCTAAAGTCATTCACGCCTCTGAACAACAATAGAATGTGTGTATCCAATGTTCCTTGGGAACAGGTTAATTTTTAGAATTTGCCCTAAAACTGTTCCTTGTTCCAACATGTCCAAGCTGACATGTTCCTTACGTAAACACGTTAACAATTGTAAAAAAATATTTGATTCTTTTGAAAACTGTTCCTTGCAGAAAGGTGTTCCATCAGGCAGGTTTTACTGTAGTTGTATTAAATGTAAATGGAATTGTCTATGGCATAAATATTTGTTGTCTATAATGTCAACATATACATTTTCAATAATACCAGTAGTCCCCATCAATTATATACAGTTTCAATCTACTATCGATAGTCAATGCTTTCAGATATATACATTTTGAACTATGTACAGTGCAATCATTGTGTTATTCCATCAGCTCCCACTCTCCTTTGCGTGTTTAACTTTACCACTATGTATTTTTGAATCCACTTTGCGGGTTAAGACTGTTCCCTGTGGATGTACTTCTCGTTGCAAGTGGTGTATTTTGTGCTGAAAAAGAATAACATCGATTTATGTTTACTATTTTGATACATTGCTTTAACGCTTAATTGTTAGTACGTGTATCCACTAAATCAAAGATCATTAAAATAAGTCAAAATATCATCCAATGCCATCATTTTGGGCATAGCATTCAATTAAAGCTGGTGATCATGAAGTCTCAAAAATGTCGAGTAGATCGAATAAAAATGAAAGAGCAGGAAAGGACAAACGTAACATTTGAAGAATTGAATAGACTTAATGAGTCCATATTCAAATTTCAAGCGTCCAAATAAAAACATTTTATTATCGAGTATCAAAACACAATTATGCATAAAAGTAGACCAAGATACATGTTACAAATGTTACAGTGGGTACGTTGTACTATCTAATAATTTTGAAGTGGAAAATTCTTTCGTCAATAATCCCATATACCCAATGATGAATAGAGTAAACCACCGAAGTTCAAAAGCCCTCGTATGATATGCTTACGATATTTGAACCTAGTTTAAATGGTCTTTTTTAAATCAGTCAGCCCGGAACAAATTGTAACATGTGTTTGTTCTATTTCTCCAGCCCAAAGTAAAATAAACAATCTACAACCCTGGATGAAAAGTTAGATTGGTTAAAGATTGATTAACTGTTTCAGTCGGTAGTTTCAGTGAGTACGCTGTCAGTTTTTTTATTATGAATAAAATAAATTTAACAACATTTCATTGGGCGCAAGGTCAGACTTTATGAGGATACCATTACCATATCAAGGGATGCTTTTATCCATCGATAAATCAACCTAATTATCAGCATCCGAACTTTTTGTTTAGAACATAAATACGGTTGATGAGAGGAATATATATTCCATGAAGGGAAACAGACCCTTAAATGAACCCCCCCCCCCCCCCCCCAGCTCCCCGTCGGCCCTGAAATTCGACCAAAGTTGACTTGCATAAGCGCGAAACTTGTTTTAGTTTTTCACGTAAGGTCATTACTTCATTTTTGCAATTTTCTTTTATTAACTATGAGCATATGCATCTTTTCCCAGTATTTATTGCAGAATTGCAAAATTTAGAATGGCAATAATGTGTTCTGATTGGCTAAAAGGTGGTATAGAATACCGATCTACTGTATGTATATATATGAATTACCTTTAGTTTACTTATCATATTATCTCTTTGTTGTTGCGCCTTAACAACTTCTTGTATCTTCTGTTGACTCTCCTCCTGGTTTGATTTTAGTTTTTGGAATTCGGACACTGTTACCCAGATGCCTAGCAACAATGATGCGGTTACTAGGGTAACGATGACAGTTATGGTAAAGCACTTGGGCCATACTTTGTGAGGTGGTTTATGCACCATAGATACATTTTCTGCCATAAGTCCTCGTTCCATTGATTCTGTGTCTGACATTATAGCTGACTTGGTACGGATGAGCCCAACCAAATAAACTGAATTTTTAAAGTATGTTGCAATGGTGTTGTAATTCCTAAGTCGATGTCTTTTGTATTGTTATTTACGATATCTCGGATCGTTTAATTTGACCCCTGGTTGATGTCTGTAGAATCTTGCGTCTCGTCACATACGATATAGATTCAGTCATTTACAGTGTACCAGTAAACAACTTCTCTTTAATAGTTTGCCTTATGCATATATTTTAATTTTAGTTAATGTTTGTTCACACCGACATAAACACAAGAAAGTCAAAGATCAACTGCCATCATCTCGTATCTTTTTTTGTTTAGCATTTTAACCCAGTTGCGTGCGTTTCCCAAAAATGAAACAGATAAAGTGTCCATATACATGTACTACAAAATAAAATCATGGAAATGTCTGTGCGAGTCAATGCTAACAAATCTTGCACGTGACACGATATTGTTTTAATGACCATCACCTTACAGATGTTCCAATGAAATACCTTGTCAGTTTGAAGTTATGCTGTAGAAACTATAGGTACACTATTCTAAAATACGGTTATTTTTGTAACGCTCTGTCGCCCTGCCAAAATACCTTTTGATATACTATCAAAAGTCAGCGACATACTTTTTATAAATCATAATGCATCATTTGGCCTTATAATTCTTCTTAAAAAAGGAGTGCACACGTTATCTTGAAGTTGATTTCGATGTCAAATGAGGTTAAAAGAAGAGTATTATTGATAGCGATCGACGTCCTCCAAACATCAAACGATTTTCGAATATTTCTAGTTATAACTTACAAGGCCTTTTTCATAAAAAAATTCTGAAATACTAATTCTCTAAACATTAAATACCCTGCGTGCAGAGTCTAGTTATAAACTGAACACGAAGCTCTCTTTTAAGAAATGAAGTCGAACGAATGCAAATGGTAAACATTAAAATAAGTAAAACTTAAATAAAATTGAACTTGAGCACGACTCAAGCAATTTCAGCAAACACATATTTTTGTTTCGAGGACGATGCATCATGAAACAAGCTAGGCATCAACATGCAAAAATGGCACCACCTGTCATTTGTTACAGACGTGGAACACTAACCGCCGAGCGCCGAACATCAGCCACCAACCGCCGAACACCGTCCACAAAAATGTTGAGGAATAGCAATATTCACTTTCTCACCACTTGTGAAGTTGACGTCCTGGTGTTTATTGGATTTTCAAATGTTAAAAAGTTTTAATCTCGAGCTTATTCTGAGTTATCAAAGCTTTATGTAAATTAGCTTGGGCAGGATTTGAATCAAATTGGAAAAATTGCAATTTTGACCAATGGGACAATGTCTTTATTTTGATTGTGTTTTTTATTCTGGATGAGTTGCATGAACCGCCATCTTTAAATTTTTACTTGCAATAATTTAAGATACTCGAACCACTCGTCTACAAGATTTTTAGGATCCTTGGCTGAGTGTCGCCTTTTTTCATTTGGCAATATCATTTATTCGCTTGCTCAGGTAGCAGTTTACACTTTAGCACGACGATTTACATAAATACATGTTTGAACCTTTTAAAATTGTAATCTTGAAGAATATATTATACCTGTTCATTAGGCACTCCGACAAATATATATCGAACCTGGTGGAAAGTTTGTTCTTGTTAATAATTTACACCATTGTACAATATACTATATCTCACCAATTTTTATTTTAGGTTGGTTGAAAATAAGCAATGAATTAACTCATAAGCGCAGAAAAATGGTTCATAGAAAAAAGCACTCTAAAAGTTTAGTCATCATTGAATTCAATGGTGGTGCATAAATAGCATAACGTGATAAAAATTATTTTCAATTCAACCTAGACTGGCCAAAGATTTACTTTATTTTAACGTTCCAGTAACATATTTAGAAATATTTGTGCTGGAAAAAAATTGACAAATACTTGCCATCTGAATGACATTACAGCGTATCCTCGTGACAAATTCATAGATTGAATGAAGTAGAGAAAATAATGTGTTTTACAATGTCAAGTGTTGTACTTGATGATATAAAAATCAAAACTTTTATTTCAAAAATGGCGGGAAGTTTAAATATTTCAAAATATGAAATGAACAACTTTTACATTTTCAAAAAATGTCTCAAATAGTTTTTCAAGTCATGAAAGGTAATATTTGAACCCAATGATTAAACTGTGTTTTCTTTACACGGGGCACGAGATTACTTTTTACATCATTTCCGAGGTATTTAAGACACAAAAAATGACCGATAGGGACGTTTATCTAGTGACCATTTATTTAGACATTGCTTTTAAAACAGCAGCACTCTAAAATCTATAGTGTTAGGTGTGTCTACATCTATAATTAACATAATGGATATTGTCCTTGATATTAGATTTTAGAGTGCTGCTGTTTTGTCTAGACAAATAGACAAAACAGCAGCACTCTAAAATCTTTTGTGTTAGGTGCATCTATAAACGCTTACTATTTTGTCAAAATCAAAATTGGTGTCATACCCTTATTTCACATTATCTTCAAGCATGGTCACTATCTTTTGATTCCATACATGTATATGTCAATAGCTATGTGACATCGGCCTTTAATTATATGAATAATTTCGTGATTCTTCAAATACCACCCGATACGTTTAACATTTTATAAACCAATCAAATTAGAGGATTTATCAAAATGGCTGCGCCCTTAATTTTCACAAATTTATTTCGGTTTCTGATATTTTGTATTATTTTACCCAGTTTAAAGGCGAATGATGCATTTAATGAAGAACTATTAGTAAAGCCTTTACACAATGGTTATATTTACACTCATTTCCAGTTCACAACTACCTGGGATATCGATATAACTGACAGAAATGCTTGTGAGTATTTTTTTCAAAATAATTTTTCCTTATTCTATTGGCTAATTGAAGTAATTCAATAGGCTATTCACTCACAGTCAGCACCCCCTATCAAATATAGTCTATTATACTCTTGTAAACTGAATTGTGAATGATAGTGCTCACTGTACATTGACTTGATTAACTTCTACATACATGTAACCTTTTCCTACAGTTGGGGACAAAAATAAATGACAGGTCGATTTTCGATCACCATTTCCTAATAATTATGGTGGTCTGAAAGCCCATAATTTCCAATATTGTCTAGATACATATCCCTTAAAATTTGTATATTTTACATTTTGTATAATCTCATCCACTGATTTATGGCCTCTTGTAAATTCTCTTATTTTTAACATGGGAAATCCTCACTTCAGCAAAACCACCTGTCATTTATTTATGTCCCCAACTGTAATCATGGTCGCCTGAAAGCCCATAATTTCTAATATTGTCTAGAAACATATCCCTTAAAATTTGTATATTTTACATTTTGTATAATCTCATCCACTGATGTATGGCCTCTTGAAAATTCTCTTATTTTTAAGGTGCCATGGAAGTTAACAGGAAATGACGAAACAGGAAGTGACAAAATATTTTGCATTTTTAGACATTTTTTGAATAAAGATAACAGAGTCCTGGTTTGACCTCCAGTCAATTAAACTATTTCCACATATCATTTACATGACCAGGATCACAATGTGCATGGTCAGAATGACCCTAAACATGATGAAATAACCTGTTTAGCCCTTTGAAAGTGTGACTTAAAAAAAGCTAAAAATAGGAGCTAGGGAAGGTCACTGAACAGAATCTTTTGAATTTTTCAGAAAATGTGCCCAATATAATGCTCTAACTGATACAATCTTTGAAATTTTAGAAAATTGTCTTAAACAAAAATGGCAGTCATGAAAACAAAAATAGATCGCTTTTCAAATCAGTTTTTTCATTTTTTTTCTTTTTCTATGAATGATATCAAATTTTCAAAGATTGTATCATTTAGAGCAATATATTGGGCGCATTTTCTGAAAAATTTGAAAGATTCTGTTCAGTGACCTTTCCTACCTCCTTCTTTTAGCTAATTTTCAGTCACATTTTCAGAGGGCTGAAAAGGTTATTTCATCATGTTTAGGGTCATTATGACCATGAACATTGTGATCCTGGACCTGTAAATGGTATCTGGAACTAGTTGAATTGACTGGAGGTCAAAACAGAACTCTGTTATCTTTGTTCAAAAAACTGTACTTGAATGTTACCTTCTTCTAAGGCCACTGTATATCGTGGCCTTCCTGGAAAGATAATTTCCTGCATGAACAATTGGTCATGTCATAGGCTAATCATAAAATTTGAAATCATATGTCCGCCATTTTTCCACATCACAATTTGAATTTCGAGTTTTGGTCTTATTACCTCACCCAAAATTCCAAAACACACATAAAGTGATCAGTGTATTAATTTACATCTTCTGGATCGTTAACTTAGAATTTACAGCCAGTTACTAATGTCAGATGTTAACGACATTTCGTCCAGTTTTCGAATATCGCCATTTTTTGGAGCCATTTTGTTTTAATTTTAGGCGAAATCCTGGCGAAATCATGTCATATCTCATCAAGGAGCCGAGCTGATTCCGTTTTAATTTATGATTTATTTATCTGGCGATTTTTAAAATATGCAATAAAAGTATGACACGGCGGCCAGCTTTTTTCAAATGGAGTTCACAGTATTCCAGATGAAATAACCTCTAGCCAAGTATTGGCTAGAGACTCGAGTAACTTGTATGTATATGTTCTAGTAGCCAAGGGAACTTGGTATATCAAAATATTGCAGATTATTGACATAGCCAATAGATTTAGAGGAGGCCTGGTACTTGTTAGATTATGATACCACAGTTTGTATGCGTGAAGTCCAGCTGAGGTTGAATCACATCATAGTGTACTTTTGTGATGAAGGATTTACATCTGCGATTCAGTTTATTTACTGTTGAAATACCTTATTGATGTGTCACGCCCACTTTGAAGCGGTCGAAAGGAATCCTGATTTAACCCTCCATTATTTTTCGGAAGCCGTAACTTTCGGTGCTTGTCTACAATTGCTTGCTAGTCTACACCTGGAAAACCAGTGACAGTGACCAAATTAACACATATTTGATAAACTTTTGGAATTGTTGAATTCTTATGTCATTTTTATATGCAAATTTTTATTTGTATCTACAGTGTATTTCCATTGTATTTCTGCAGTGTATTTCCTGGTCTTTTTTACTAGAATTCGATTTGTTCTTTCACCAGAAAAGTTTACATTTATGACATCACAATTTTTAAGCAGTTCATTATAATATTCATGTGCTGACTTTATTGAATGGTGAATATCAGCTTTGAATAATTTGATTGAGTAAGCAAACCCACAATTCTAGAGATTGTAGTAAACCAGGTATACTTTGTATACTATTTTCAGTCACCCACTATGGACTGTTTCCAAAATCCCTAGGGGAAGTACTTGACAAGTACAATGTGCAGGAGTTACACCTGTCATTGACACAAGGTCAGTGGAGACATGAAAAATGGGGCTATCCTGTCATAGATTCACCTGTTGGGGCAGAACTATGGGTCTGGTTCCAAGAAAACACACAAAAGTGAGTTCTGTATTCAGTTATTTTATAAGATTTTTAACAGTGTTTAAAACATAAATATTGTGAAAGCCAGCATCTCTCTTGAATTCAGTTCTGCACTATCCTTTTTTGTAAGAATAGATACTTGTGCAAAGCATAATATATTGTTATTCCAAATATGTATTTCCTATGTTATGTTTTTATATAGATTTTATGTGCGTGTACTTCCCTGTTTCTGACTATAAAAGTTACAATTAAATACAAGCTATCAAAATGACTCTGTTACAGCATTGATAAGACCTGGTCAGAAATCAACAATGTTCTCTCTGGTATGTTCTGCGCATCTCTCAACCAGATGGACAAAAAATCGACAATAACTCCTAAATACTCCTTCAAACCAAAAGGAGTGACAAGGAGTAAGTTAGATACTAAGTATTTGCGCTATGCATCGTTACCCAGAGAAATGGTGTGTACAGAGAATCTCACCCCTTGGAAGAAACTGCTGCCTTGTGGGTCAAAGGTAACCTGTTATTACTTTCAAGCTCTCACTAGTTGCACATGTTTATTATATCACTACATAGCTAGCAACTGTATGGTTGGTCAAAACCGGGTCACATGTCATTGAATATCTGGCAGTATGGAATTACCATGCTAATCAGATAAGACAACCGTTGAATATCCTGATATCACACTTCCCAGGAATTTTCAAAGAATTTGTTTTCATACAGTGCAAGTCAAAATGGCAGACAGGAAATATTTATTGAATTTCTGACTTGCAAAATGTGCAAAAACATAAACTAAATACAAAATTATGACAATTTTTGTAAGGTGAGTAATCACAACTAGACAGTGATTAATAGCAGGAGATATCAACTTTGTTTTTACCAAATTATTCTTAGGAATTGCTCAATATCTCTAATGTGACGATTCGCCAAATTTTTTTTTTTATTATTTATCTATTTTGTGAATTCTAGGTTGGCCTTGCTAGTCTATTAAAGGCAGGCAAAGTTTATGATGCCAGCTATCACTCTCTGGGACTGCACTATAGACCGATATGTAGGGTGAGTTCTGTATCATTTACCAGTGTAAAACACAAGAAGTACCCATTAAGACCAATGTGTTTGGAAAGTACAGAAGTGTACACAGTCCAATATAAAAGGCTGTTTCTGTACTTTACATTATGTTCTGAACTGATATACCAATATGGAAGGACTATAAGTACTTGTTACTCACCAATGAATGCATGTGAAATAGATAGAATAAATACTTGTTTGTAATTTTATGTAAAAGTAATTTTAAAATTGCAAGAGTTTTGTTGTTTTAATCTGCCTTAATAAATTCCTGTCACAAATTCAAAGTAAATACATAGACTTTTTGACCACAAGCAGTTATATTTGGTTATTGTGTTTCAGGATGCTGACTGTATTGAGACATCTGTTGAGCTCAGTCAGACTCTGTCCACCGTATTTGAACCTGCAACACAAAGCTCCAATGGCAAACAGGGTGAGCCAATTGTACTGTGTTCTGTTTAGGAGTAGTGTAATGATACTAGTCATGAAATCATTACTCAGGGGTTTCATTAGCAGCAGGCAACAGGCAATTTTCACCAGTTGTTTTCACAAAAATCGTGTGTTGTTTTTAAGGACTTTTCAGCTTTTCCATGTTAAATTCATGATTTCCATTAATTTTGCCTGTTGTTTTCATTTATTATTAGCCTGTTGTGAGAAATTCTAGTGAAACCCCTGTGACTGCTATGTGCTTTGTTCCTTTCATGATATCATTTCAAATGTTCACTTCATTATAAAAGTGAATAGCTAAAAATGATGTCACATGAAACAAAAGTATTTACATATACAATACGCATAAACTTCAGCAATATCACATGTTTCTATAGAATTTGATGATACCCATTTGCTATCTAAAGGACGTACGTTGATATGCTATCTGATTTGTCTTTGTATTTTTTATTTCTCCAGACTGGTCCATTAAAGGTTTGTTTGGAAAGCCTCTAGGAAGCAGTTGTCCTTTAGCAACCACTAGCAAAATTCTGGTAGATGTCACTAGTAATAAGGTATGGCTGACATAAAAATGTACTCTCCATCATGAATTACAGGTTTTTTACAATGTGAAATGATAAGAAAGATGATAAAATATGTAATACAAAAGAAATATATAGTCAGTACACAGGGTGTTCAAAAAAGACAAGCAAAATTATTTCAAAATTGCACTCTGCCAATGAATCTACTGAAGTAAGACGATTCTGTATGTTTAAGGGCCCCAATAGTTTCACCCTGGAGCCAACACCCAGTGTAATTGAGACATTCAAGAGAGAGAAAGATGCTAGAAAGTATGCTGTCTACAACATTCCAGATTTTGTGAAAGGCAACCTTCTTTCACTTACAGCAAAATATAAAAGTCCTATAGTCTATACTCAACCAGTAACACCTCCCTTTTATACACACAGATTTCAGACTGGTAAGTATTTGGGGATTATTTAGTACAAGTAAACTTTCTAATGAAAATATAAGTCTTGTAGATTTGTTGAATTTTTTTGCAAAAATTGAACGATTCACACCATGCATTTTTACGGCCATTAGTAGAAATATCTTTATTTTTATAATGAATTATGTCAAATTATTCAAAGTGACATCATATTTTAAATCCTGATATATTCAAAAGGTAACATGAAAATTGTCCTGTTGAATTAATATTTTCCTACTTTATGGGTGAGAAAGCTGGTAACTTACTTCTAACACCAAGATGCTTGGTTAAATTAAAGTATTTAATGATATCCTACAGGGTATGGTCAAGAGAAAGGTGGGATAACATGTCTGCTTTACAACCAACAAGCACAGAATGCAACAGTTGTTTACATGGAAACAGTGCCCTGGTACATCCGCATGTATCTCCATTCTCTCACAATAACTAGTGAAGGCAAGACAATTACTCCAGGTAGGAGCTATACCCACCATCTAAATTTAGCGCAGTCAGATGTCCCTTTGGTAGTTCGACTTTTTCAGGAAAGCAACAAACTTGGCACAGTTGTAGAAACATATGATCTGAATGAAAAATGATTTCGGGGCAAGTGATTCGGGGTGGTCTTCATGGATTTTAAGCCTCTGACCCCCACCCCTATCAGGCGGGGAGGGGGTACATTATAATAAAATAAATAAAAATAGTTGTAAAGTATATTTCTTTAAATGACTTCATTTGGTCATTGCTTTGAGCCTTGAAATTGAGAAAAACCTATTTTAGAAATGGTGTTTAGGAAGGAAAATACATTTTAACCCAATTATCTAGCGTGAATTCATCTTTCAAAGGGTCAAATATAGGACATCAAGTACTGTATTTCAAGAATGTGATGTCTGATCATCCTGAAAAAATTCATATAAATAGAGATATAGGTGTTAATCAATCATATGATATATCGCTTGTGTAGCTTATGTATTTTTTGAGAAATAAATTATCGAAATTTGGATATTTAAGCCCTTGCGGCCTAGGGGTGACCTTATTTTACCTTAATAATTTTTAAAATATGCGATGTTTGGGCCTCATATGAATTCTAAATGTTGCATTAAGTATTGTTTTGTCATATTATTCCTAATAAGATGTAAAAAAATTATTGGAAATAAAAAAAAAATCAAATTTTCATTTTCGGTTCTAAAGGGCCAGGGGCAACCATATTTTACCCTAATAATTTCCCAGATATGTAATATATGCATCTCGAATTAGCTCAAGATGTTGCATATAGTTCTGTTTTATCATACTTCTTCCAATAAGATGTAGAAAATGATCGGATATATCTAAAAAATCAAAATTTTCACTTAAGCTCTTGATGGCCCTGGGGTAACCTTATTTTACCTTAATAATTTTCTAAATATGAGACATAGTCACCTCAAATGAGCTTAAGATGGTATATTTAGTCCTGTTTTATCATAGCATTCCCAAGGAGTGAAAAAATGATTGGGAATTATAAGAAAATTACATTTTCATATTACACACATACACCCAATCCGCAACATCTTCTTGCAGCGCTGTAAACAGTACTGAACGGTGCAGTCAGAGTACTGCACTATATAGCAATGTACAATGCTATTCTAACATCATCTGTTTTGGACAGCGTAGTACAGTACTGTTTTTACAGCTCAGTACTGTTTTAGAAAACAGCTGTGTACAGTACTGTTTTTACAGCACTGTTTATGAAACCATGCTGTTTGATGCAGTTTGAGATTGGTAGTGTAGTTTATGATAGGTCAGGAATGACCTAATTTTACCTTAAAAATTTAAACAAAGATATATCATATTGTCTACTCAAATGGGCTTAAAATAGTGAATATAGTCTAGTTTTGTCATATTATTCCTACTGAGATATACAATAATGATTAACAGTTATAAAAAATGAACCTCAATAGCCATTTATTCCTTTCTAGTACCAATGGCAATACTATCTAATTGTATAGAACATTTCTAAGATGTGAAAATGTTTGATAAGTCAAGTTCATACTCGCATGAGTAGAAGCATTGTTAAGATTCTGTATATTATCATTTGAGTATATAATCCAAATCTATAAAACCTAATCAAAGGAGTCACAATTTATGGATTCTGACAGTCTCTCCTACAGCTACATAGCTCAGAGCAAATCAGATCTGCTTTCAAACATTTGCATCTGTTCTCTTGACACAGGTATTCTACCCCATGACCTACATTTTATGTTGTGGCCTCAGTATCAGCAGTGGGAGTAGGCCAGCCACATTCATGTGGTGATAGAAACTGTGGCTAAGAATGCATCAGAATGAATAAGGACTCTAGTCTTCTAATTTTAGGGTATCAAAAAAGATTTAAAGCTTAAGAACACTTGCGTAATCTCTGGGTGGGTACACCTTATATTCCTGCAAATCAGTTGACTAAGAGTAGTAGCAGAATGCACCTAGAGATTGTATGAAAAATGGTAAGGGCTAAACTTCGTTCATGGCCAAGTGGCCTTGAAATATCTAAGACAGGTCGTACATTCTGGAGGAATTTCCCCTCACCATAGGCCATATGCAATCCAAATTGACATTTTCAGCACAAGTTACTGCCAGTTTAAACCACATCAAAATCAACTGTATTGACTATGATTCTTATAAGGTCATGACAGAAGCAGTCTTTGGCATGCTTCTTCATACGAGCGAATGGTGATGGCAGATACTTCACTATCAGGCTAAGATATTGCATTACCTCATTGTGAGGTCACAATCTTCTTCGTTCATGGCCAAGTGGCCTTGAAATATCTAAGACAGGTCGTACATTCTGGAGGAATTTCCCCTCACCATAGGCCATATGCAATCCAAATTGACATTTTCAGCACAAGTTACTGCCAGTTTAAACCACATCAAAATCAACTGTATTGACTATGATTCTTATTAGGTCATGACAGAAGCAGTCTTTGGCATGCTTCTTCATACGAGCGAATGGTGATGGCAGATACTTCACTATCAGGCTAAGATATTGCATTACCTCATTGTGAGGTCACAATCTTCTTGCCATCTTCCTCCAGGGTTTCAGTTTTGATGCCTGGAAGGAAAACAGCTCCCTCTTGTTCCAACTATCTTAGGAAATCTTGCCAATTCCACAGAAGAAAATTAGTAGGATATACTTTCCTCACTGTTCCAGTTTTGTGCTGTTTGTATCTATGTTGAATGACTAAGCTACATAGTAGATGCCAAAATAATAGACAGGGCATGTATAGTTAAACATGCTAACAGTGATATTGGGTGATTATGCAAATATGATATTACCCTTGTAAAAGTCTGCAAATAGTTCATTGCCTTGATGTCAGCTGGAATGTTTACCAGGACACTAGCTTAAAGGGGCAACAAGGTCTGTAGAAGATTCATTTTTTCTACTTTTTCTGAGATATCAGGGCAATATTTGGCTAAACATCTTCTTTGACATACCTATTTTCTTAAAATGTATGGATAAATTATCAATTTCAGCATTAAGAAGTGTAAATTCAGTTCAAAGCTTCTTTAAAGGGAGGCCCACTTATAGATTTTTAAGATCCAAAACATTTCAAGAGGAATCAGCTGAAATAATGTTCATCCAGGGGATTTCTTTGGAAAAAAATAAACATGTTAGTCTTGATGAAATATCCAAACTTGACTATATTTTGACACTGGTCCATGATCATTGAATGGCCCCTTTGCACTAATTGTTGCACCTTTAAAACAGCACTAGAGAGACTTGTGGAACTGGAACAAGGATAGTCTTAGGAGGAAACTGAAACCCTTGAAATGGATGGAAAGAAGATAGTGACCACATAAATTAAGGAGGCAATGCAATGTTTTAGCCCAACAGTGAGGTTCTGCCTTGCACTTAAGAAGAAGCAGATTCAAGGATATTTCTCAATATTTTCAGTAAGACTGCTTCAATCATGGCCTTCAAGAGAAAGAATAATATTCCTTACATTTAATTCTGATGTGGTTATCCTGGCATATATGTGATGTTAAAAACTGAAAAAGTCAATTTGGATAGCATATGGTAAGGTAGAAAACATATCAATATCTACCTGCCTATGACCAAAGTTAAATCCTCCCCATTTCTCATACAATCATTGGATGTGATGTTACATCTGTATTCTACTGCTATTGGTAGTGCTTAAATGGAATAAATGGATTGAGATTTAAATGTGTCACTGAGTTTTCTAATTGTTGTTAATCATTATCTCAGTAGGAATAAAGTGAAAAACAGACTATTTTCCCCATTTTGAGATCATTTTATCTTGAAAATTAATAACATTTGGCATTCTTGTGCCAAATCATTGATTGTCATTATTCACTGACAGAATCCTTGACAGAAGCAGCTCACCTTAACTCAGGCTAAGGTGACTGGACTTACTACCCTTTGCATTCATTTGACTTTCCTTCTCAAAAGAGAGCTTCGTCTTCACTCTATCAGTTTTCAATAAATCTCTGAACTCACCGCGCTAATCAGAGTTTGTTGTCAGATAAGGACGGCTTTCTATATGGTCATTTTCTCTGACGAAATCGCATCATTAATGTACACGCATTTAGCACTTAATTGTTCCTTCAAGCTCGCTGATTGGTTGAGAATAGGTCAGCGCCATGGTTTATTGCAGCTTGGGTCATAAATGCTTTAAGACCCAAGCTGCCAATGGCATTGGTCATGGGGACGGGGCTGCTATACTCACTCCATCCTTTGCTTCTATATTATGGTAATATATGATAAAATCACCTCTGACCTGTCAAAAGCTAAAAATGTCATTTTTCAAATTTCCATTTTTTTACATCTCCTAAGGAATAATATGACAAAACAAGAGTATATGACACAATTTTAAGCTCATTTGAGATGCATAGTCTCATAATTAAGAAAAGTTCAAGATTAAATAAGCCCCCCCCCCCCCGGGCCATCATAAGCTAAAATGAAAATTTCAAATTTTAAGAAATGTCCAATCATTTTCTACATCTTATTGGAGGTATTATGATTAAACAGAACTATAAGCACCATCTTGAGCTTATTTGAGATACATATATAACAAACCTTGAAAGTTATCAAGGTAAAATATGGTTACCCCTGGCCCTTCAGAAGCGATAATGAAATTTTTCTTTTTTTTGAAAAGTTCCAATCATTTTTCAATGGAATAGGAATAATATGACAAAACAAGACTCAATGCACCATTTTGAGCTCATATGAGACCCATACATTGCATATCTTAACAATTATTAAGGTAGAATAAGGTTACCCCTAGGCCGCAAGGGCTTAAAAATTCAAATTTCGATAATTTTTATCTCAAAAAATACATGAGCTACCCAAGCCATATTCTATATTTGTGATGAACACCTATACACCTATTAGTATGAATTTTTTCAAGATGATCAGACATCACATTCTTGAAATACAGTACTTGATGTCCCATATTTGACCCTTTAAAATATGAATTCACGCTAGATAATTGGGTCAAAATGTATTTTCCTCACTAAACACCACTTCTACAATCGGTTTGTCTCAATTTCAAGGCTCAGAGCAATCACCAAATGAAGTCATTTAAAAAAATTTACTTCAAAACCATTTTTATTTATTTTTTATAATGTACCCCCTCCCCGCCTGATAGGGGTTGGGGTCAGAGACTAAAAAACCATGAAGACCACTCCGGATCACTTGCCCCGAAATCATTTTCCACTCAGATCAAGTGTTTCTACAACTGTGCCAAGTTTGTTGCTTTCCTGAAAAAGTCGAACTATAAAGGGCTCATTTCTGGACATCTGCGCTAATTGAATAAAATTGATTTTGAGTGTTTTTATCTGCACATTTCCATCCCTTTTTCCTGCTTATTAAATTCCATTGTTAGGACTATAAGAAGGATTGCCATCTATTTTCTATGCTTATTCAATTGCATTATGGGATATGTCTTCTGCTTAATTATTTGCATTATGGGATATGTCTTATGCTTAATTATTTGCATTATGGGATATTTTTTGAGTTGCATTACGGGACAATTGAAAATTCTCTCAAGAATTCTTACCTTCTATTTTCATTCCATGTTTGTTTAAATCATTTAGATGCAGTTCACTATGTGGGGGGTCGAGACCGTGAACGACCATTTCATCTAGAGCTTGTTCTCACCCTTCCTCCATCCTCCATTACAACAATCACATTCCAGTTTGAGCGGGCTTTTCTTAAGTGGACAGAGTACCCGCCAGATGCAAACCATGGTTTCTATGTCAGTGCTGCTGTTGTAGCTACCATGATAACTGATGCTCAATATTTCACACCTCCACCACAGGAGAGTTCTATGATCTCATCTAGGTACGTTGTATCCTATTTTAGACTGTATTTCAAATTGGCTAAAAATTTACCTTCATTTTAAATACAGTAGGCTGAGCAAAAGTTTTTTATGTGTTTCATAATTCCATCTTTTCAATAAAAAAGAAAATGTGTGACTTGTTTGAGGCCCTACATGTATTTATTCTACAAAAAATGTTTATTGTTTTGCAGTATAACAGACTCAAGGGAAGAGAGATTCATTCAGATCCATACTGAAATCCTAGTTGTTACCCTTCCCACTCCAGACTTTAGTATGCCCTACAATGTCATCTGTCTCGCATGTACTGTCATAGCTATCGGCTTTGGCTCCATACACAATCTCACTACACGGCGCTTTGTCATCATGGATCCAAATAAAAAACCTGGATTGCTCAGTAGAGTTAAAAACTTTTTTAAAAGAAAGCCTAAGGTTGATACAACTGAGGGTAGTGAAGCAGTAAGTGCTGAGGGGAACACTCCAAAGGAGAAGGAATCCTGATAGCAGATAACATTAGGAAAGCTATGTGTGGGTAAATTACCCTGAAATCAAGAGACTTAGATTAACAAATTTACAGTGTGCTGCTGATCAGATCTTTTTGACCGCAAAAGCAACTGTCATGGCCTCTTATGGGAGTTTCAACATAAAATAATTGCAAGCTACTTATGAAGTCTTGACATTTTGTGACTGCGATTTTGATTGGCAGCTTGAATTTCAATCAAGCTTATCTGATTGAGAAAGGCTGGATCAATGAATTTTCTCATATTTGTAGAGTGATGAAGCTCTCTTTTAAGATGCAAAATGAAACTCTTTAAAGGGGTATGTGCAAAGAAGTGATATGTCTGAAATCTCATTTCAGTAAGAAAGGAAATGAGAGACCTGTGTCTTTCAATAAGACGTAAAGAGAGAACTATGTGTTGTAGTATAGTGGATTGAATATTGGAAATGCCTCTGTCTTGGCAGGCCCCCAGCCACATACTCAGAAGTTGATTCCTGATACAAAATCATGATGTGCAACAAAGAATAGAAAAAATAAACGAGTCTAAGATATTAACATATTCCTCTGGATCAAAATTTTAAGTATTTCATTATTCTACTTGTTTTGATCAACATGTAAATTACATTAACTGTAATTAAGAATTAAGGGGAATTAATGAACATCTACATGACAAGTATTTTAATGTTATTTCCAAAAATTAACAAAGTCGGTAATATGCTTTTCAAAGACAAAATATTTTCAATTAAATATTGAAAAGGCATTTCCTTCAATTTTTTCAATTTTTATATAGATGTAAAACTACCTTTAAGCGCATTAATCTTTTTTTATTAATCACACTTGTAGTTCATTCAGTGATGTAAAATACATGTGTCATAAAAGTTTTTATTATTGTATACTCCAGAACAAATCTGCTTCATTATATACGCATTGTGCACATCTGCGGATTTTCAATAAATCTGATTTTGAATATTGATTTTCGTATAATTGGTATTGTATTTGCCGTTCAAGTGAACGTTGTATTTATATTTTACTGTATCATTTTATCAGGCGCGTATCGTGGTCATTTTGCAAGGGTACGCCCCCGTATGTGGATGAATAATGTGTGAAGATGAATGCGATTTTGGCGTATGATTTCGTTCGTGCAGACCTACCATAGGTTCTGGGTCGATATAAAGATGGCAGCACCAAGAGTCAACACTACACCAGACGAAAATAGAGAAAGTCGTCTGCACAAGGTCGTGCGAATTTGTGGAAATGCTCTACACATAAGGGCTTTTATTGGCTTAATCAATGTAGTTAAAGCTAAATCCACTTATCGTACGGTTTAAATGATTAAATTACTTACATTTAATAATGTCAAGTGATACTCAGGTTTATACGTACTGAATTTGCTGATTTTGAGCGTGTACTCTGCCGGGATTCGCCATCATACCCCATACGGCCTTGAAGAAGCGTACAAGAATGACACAACTCTTTGAATCACAAAAAAATTGAATCTTTGAATCGCGAAAACAGTGAATGATAATGAGGGAATCGAGAACTTATTGTTAATACACTTGTACAACAAAGGTTTACACATCATCAAAGAAAATAACAGTAAAATACTGAATTTCATGTTTTTTTTAAAACGTTTTTTCAAATTCAAACAGTACGCCTGGGCGTAATTTGCGTACATGACGATACGCGCCTGTTTATTAATTTAATATGTTTTTTTTAAATATGGTTAATTATTTCCATCAAGAGCTTTCTAAATAACCACATGGTACACTGTATTATATTTTTTTTCATGTTATCAGTATTATAATATGAATATAATTAAGTGGTGACATATTCTTGACTTAAGGAATAAATAATGATAGGCCATTCAATATGGTGAAATTCAGCACGAGTTGGACAGAATGTTGTACAAAGCACGAACCGAAGGTGAGTGCATTTGTACTAACATTCTGTCCAACGAGTGCTGAATTTCACCATATTGAATGGCCTATCATTATTTATTCCGATTCAAACATAAAAATTGGTAAAAGCCGTGTCTGTGGAACGGGCATGAAGGAAGAATACGCATGCTGTCAAGATTCTGAAGTCGGCCGGAAAAATTTTAGAATTTGTTTGGGCTGTTCTATTTTACTCCCCGTTTTAGATTTAATACGGTGTATGCAAACGTGCATACACGTGTTACGGAGGGAGTAAAAAAGAACAGCTATCCCCGGACAGAGCCCCAGATGTGCAGCTGAGATGTGACGTCACTCAAAACAATGCAAATTGCAGATTGAATAGAGCATGGTCGTGCATCTATGGAGAATTAGAGAACGTTCTATATTGGCTATGCTGCATTCTGATTGGTTGAAAAATTCGAATAGAGCACGGTCATGTTTGAATTGGGTTTAGCTTCTGCATCAGCACTTGGCATCTGCTATTGCAGCCATGTGGTGACACATTAGGTGTCATTCATTAAGCTATCACGGTCACTGCGTGTTCTTGAATTTATGAATTTATACGTCTATTGTCCTTGAATTATGTCGTCATGATTTCCATGGTTACAACAATTCATTCCAGGACAACGCATGGTATGGTATATTAAGCCTTTGTATGTACCACTCCCCTCCGAACCCCTCAACTCAGTATTCTTAAGTACTGTACATCTACTTATGACACCGCAAAAAGTGGTGACATATTATTAAACGTCACCAACCTTTTTTATGACGGCGTTCGGCAGTTGGTGTCCGACAGTTGGCGTTCTGCGTCTTGAACAAATGGCAGATGGTGACATTTACATATTATGCCTTGTATATTAATATGCCTGTTTTGTCACTTTAATGTCGTCTATGCCAAAACGTGTATTTTAAAGATATAAAATGATATGTGATCTTTGTTATCTTTGAAACACAGTAATTTTTATAAGAAAATAACATTTTTGTTCTGTTTGATTGATTTATTTTCTTGTCATGCAGCATACATAAATGCCAGAGCAAAATGTGACATTCCATGGAATCTGAGATGATTGCAAGTTTTAGTGTACATGTTTTGATAAACGATATGAGAATGATCAACTACATATTACCTTATGAATACTGAAATTGTACTAAAGCATTGTTTTGAATGGAATGCCTTGATTTGTAAGCACTTTCTGATTCATCTTTGTTCACGATATAACATGTTCATGTCAGTCACACCTGCCTGTTCATACTCAATTTGTACGTGTTTAAAATATCTCTGTTCCAGACAGTCCAACGTCAAATACTGGTATTGAATATGTAGCTTGTTCACAAACATATGAGGAACTTGATCCAAAGCGGGCAGGTCTCCTAATCCAAAGATGCAAATATTTCTCACATATTTACCATGGCAACGTTTTGTTTTATCACGCTGGTTCATCCATACTTTATATCTGGTCAGGTATTCCTGGTGATGAGTTGATCTTCTTTCTAATAGAAAAGAAAGTATAGACTAGTCTTACATATGAAACGTGAACTGAATTTAAACAGATTTATTGGAAGTAATAAATGCGTTTTGAAAAAAGATTAACAATTCTCATAATCTTATCACGATAACACAATAAAATAGACTAAGTTGTGGAACGTGGACGCGTACTATTATATAGAATAATGTAAAATGAAAGGTTTTTAGAGTACGTGAACGTGTAGAATTATGGTGCTCTCAGGATTAGTTCTTCGATTTGTAGAATTTACTCACCTGATCGAGTACTGAGGTTCGCATACAAGTTCTCTTTAACACTTCTCTTAAACCATTTATTTTACAAACGTTTTACGTTATGTATACTGTACGAACTACGAAATAATCGAATCTAGTCAACATTTCTCAACTCACCAATAGTTCCTGGGACACCAAGTCGCGAATTATAGTTCAATGTTGAAAAGAAAATTTCATCTGGAATAGCAGCATCGTGAACCCATTGTAAAAGCCTCCAAGATATGTCACTGTATATGATAAAGTTGACGAACTCCCGTGACAATGCCACGTGGACTTCCCCACTCACGACTGTCATGTTGTAGGGAACCTCACGAAGTTTCCATATCCATCGATGCTGTTTTGAACTGCAAAATACGAGGAGCATTTAGGAAGTTGTATATCGGCTTATTCAAAGTAGCAATAACATCTGTCGAAAAACGTTAATACTAGAATATACAGCAGAAATAAAATGATGTGATATTAATGCCCAGCAGAGAAATGTTTCTATACATGTTAGGGGGAATTAGCCTGGGGTGGCCCTATTCTAAGATAATGTGCAATCACCATATGATTTGAAAATTAATCTTACCGAGTCATTTTGACGTCGTTACCTCCATGGAATGATCTCAGTATTCGAATTATTTCTAGGTTTGTTCTTAGCGGAAATTCTTGCCCCGTGAGATTAATGTAATACTTCCATTTGTGATGTCGTCTATAAAGATCAGTCATACATATTAGATTTGCTTCCAGAACACTGAACCTTCCCCACGTGATTTTGACGTTCCTTGACGCAATGTGGACATTTTCAAAACAGCTTGTTATTGTTGAGACAGCATCGTGAATAGATGGCTCTGCCTTCTTGTCTACGTGGATGCAGTAAACGTTCCATGGGCGGTAGATTGCACGCAAGAGACGCTCCGCTTGTTCGATATTTTGATACATCACGATGTCATAAGCAATTGGGAAGGATAACTCATTCTTAGAAGCTGGTTTTATGATATACTTTCTGTTTTCAAAGAATTTAGTACAATTTGAAGCCATTTTTATATACCACTTTGGTTCCTTGACCTTTTTCATTGTAGTTTGAAGAACACGTCTGGCTCTTCGAACTTCTGTTTTTTGATTTGCAAACAACGCGCCGCAGTTTATATGTGTGTTACGAGATGGAGCCATTGAAACCATTGACGAATTAGATTGGTCGCTGTGCTCAATTGTTTGGCCGATGGAATTAATCTTTTCGGACATATAACTATTATCATCTGTCGTGACACGTCTTGAAATATTTTTAGTGTTAAGTTTTTCAGAAGAAAATGAAGTAATACCCGAAAGTGCGCCATGGTGGCTAGTCAGTTCTTTAAATGGACTCTTGCTGGATAGATTTGAATTAATACCTTTAACGGATGTCACGGTTTGTATCGTCCTTTCACTTATATCTCCAATGGCTCTCAATTCATTGCTATTGGTTTCACTCAGGTGGAATACCTCATAAATCATCATTAATGTAATTGAAGTGAATAAGATTATAATTGCCTTTTTACTAAGTAATAGTTTTAACATGGTATATACTAATGTTATTTAACAGGACTGCAATGCGATTTTTGGTTTACATCTCAAACGACAAACTTATCCGCTCAAATTGACATTTATACAAAATAATTTGAAGGCATGATCATGATAATTGATTCAAGAGGCCCTATCATCTTCATCTTTTATTAAACTATCTCTTAATTATTCGGCCTTGCTGAAGATCTAGATGTCTCCCAATTAATTAAAAAATTTGAATGATCGCTAATTCGCTATCGTAGTGTCTGATGGAATTTCTTGTCTAAGCTTTTTAACCGAATGATTGGAGTATATCGTGACTAATTAGTAAAAACGACAGCTTGCTGTTTTTATGTCATGTGAAACATATATATACGGTAAAACCTACAGAGTACAAGGAACACTCACTAGACTGGCCAAAACGACTCGTTGTAGACAGGCGTTGTTCTTAAAGAAAGGTGTTCCATCGGACAGGTTTTACACTGGCGGATCGGCTTTGTATAAAAAACCTCCTACCTCATACCCACCTACCCACCTACGTGGGACATGATACAGTCATTGAAGGGTTCAATTTTAAAGTTTTTAAATCTCAAAATATACTCTAATCATTAACATTGAGTTACATTGGATATTTTATGACTAGACGGATGACAGATCCCCATAAATAAATGCATATGGGTGCATTGTAATGCGTAATGACCTGAAGGCTCCCCAAGGGAATAACTACCTGTAACTAATGACCGCTAGCATAGGTCCAACAAGCCAGATAAAGAAATTGAAAGAAAGTGTGCTAAATTCGATGCCCCGAGTGGAAATCGAATCGAGCTGGGCTGTAATAGCAACTTGCTATCAAGGGCCTTTACAAATGCATCTATAATTCATCATTAACTAAGATTTAATAAACTAAGATCTTTAAAATTGATCCCCTTCAAAGACTGTATCATGTCCAACGTACGTGGGTAGGTGGGTATGAGGTAGGAGGTTTTTTATACAAAGCCTGGCGGATCTGGGGGGATAAGTTAGTGGGCCAACAAGCATTTTTTCATCCCTGGGCCTTACTTTTTAATTTTAGGCCAAATTATCAAGAAAATGGGCCTAACAATTTTGGCCCACTTTTTGATTTTAGGGGCCCAACATTTTTCCGAGCAAGTGCAGAATTTTCAAATATGCCCCCCCCCCCCCCCCCCCGTTATACTTTATACTCCCACCTGCATTTTTGCATTTTGGCTCACTGTAAATAGGAGTAATGGTCTCTACATGTGTTGTTTTAATACGTGATCATGTCTTAATTTACACTTCCCATTACTAATAATTAAGCATTCAGAGATAGCGCCTCTCGTGACATCAGTGATCACGTGGTATAGCGAGATATAAACAAAGTGTCATGTGATGATTATGTTATTGATCGTTAAAATACATGTACAGTTGTACACCATTCAGCTTTATTAGGTAAAGCGTTTTAAGGTGAGTCATATTTATTTGCATGCTTTCTATTTATTATGAGAGCTGTCATTTTCTCAGTGGATACGTCCCCTGCTATTGTAAAGGTATATGAAGCTACCTTAGATGACCTGTTACTTTGTCCTGCGTTGCTGATTTCAAGGACGATTTCATATATATTGACATTCAACAGTACTCCGCACATATAACATTGAGTCAAGCAGTCCCAGGGTGTGTTATCTTGTAACAAGTTTCTGCCCACGGCACCATCTCCACAGTCAAATAGTTTTCCGTTAAGGTCACACAAAATAGTACGAGGGGCATCCTAAACGTCTCGTGGGCGTGTTGTACGACTAGAGCAGACCGCGCTTGGATGATCTTGGTGTAACATTTACCTCTTTAATAATTGTAATTGATCTGGATGTGGAAATTGAAAATTGGGCCCGGGATTGTTGATTAATAGCGATGAATATACTGTGTGTCTTTAGAGTCACCAGCTTGGTTTGAAATTATCACCAACAAAGCTTTGTAGACTTTAAGTTTATACTATCGGCAATAAAAGTCAAGATGACCTTGAATTGAATCTAACGTATTGTTCTCGTATCAAGATCACCTTTCTATGTAAGTGATATGTAAGTAGAATCAATGACAAAAATGATACTCTAACAATGCTTTATCACGGATATGGTGTGATAAATGATGCATCAATGGTATAATATGCTACTCCCGGGAGGGGGGTACTTCCATATAATGGCTATATGGGGACGTGCCGCTTTTGAGTCTCAGCGGCTCCCCCCTCTAAAAAAATTTGACCAGTACCCCCCCCCCCCGGATGCTACTATACAGTAACCGAAATGCACCTGGGAATGAGTACTTTTTCATTGTCGATAAAATACAAAGATTGCTTCTATTCCTCTAGGTTGATATATCTCCATGGGATAAACGGACAATTTTATGGTTTTTCAACAATATCAATTATATTCCCCTGGGAAATATCTTATTGTTCCTCGCAATAAACTCCTGAATCCCTCCCAGTAAATAAGCCTGGGCTGCGCTCACTCGTGAAGATATCAATATCCAATCGTGGATATAAATGATATTTCAAAAACAGGATATTACTTTAATATAAGACATTGAACCGTATCGTGACATTTAGTCTAGCTACAACCCCTTGTAAGCCCCCCCCCCCCCAAAAGAACTACAGCCATGTTGCGTTAGTGAAGTAGAAATGTCCAGTCTTGAAGCAAGACTACGTGTCATTCGGGTTTCCAAGTCTACTATCTCAGGTACAGAATAAAAAGCTCTCGTGACTCTGATTAATCAGAATGGTTTGATTTGTATTACAGATATTATAGTCATGCCTGTTGAGGATAACCCGAGCCATCCCACACGCGTCATACCCCCACAACCAACTATCGCCAAACCTGGACATCTTTCCAAAGAACAAGTAGAGCAGTTCTTCAAAGAAGTAAATAAATATGATTATCGAAATTATAATGCTCAAAGTTTCATATTTGTTATTTTTTATTTTGTAGCTTAGTGAAATATCAAATCGATCTAAAATATTACAAATGTGACAGTTTTGCTTCTAAAGAAAGAAGAATAGATACAAACAATTAGCAATTGCTTCAAACATTTTTCACCATCTATCCTTTCCACCTCCTTTGAGATATCCCGCTCATTTTAATTAAATATTTTGATTTTATAATGAATACTCGCTAGTGTTGCAATGCAAGTAAAAATAACATGCAAATTTTATTTTCTATATAGGGTTATGTGATAGTCAAAGATTACTTCACCCATGAAGAATTGAAACCAAGTCAGGATGCAATAGCTGGAATGGTTGATGAACTTGCGCAGAAATTGTACAAAGCTGGAAAAATTAAAAGTATGACCGTTTTTATGTTATCAACAAGAAGTGGTGACATATTCTTAAAGTCATTGTTTACTGTTACACCTTTCAAGGCTATGACATTTTGGCATGACAATCATCATGATATTTCTAAAATGAGACTCATAATACTCTTTAATTTCAATGATTATTCTTATATAATCCATGTTACTGTCATAGCATGTTGTTTTGAATAGATAAAATTAAAAAACATAGACGAAATTAATGTTTCCTGAAATAGTCTCGCATCAAACGTTTAACTACTCCATTTTGTCATATCTGGGGAAACAGGATCAATGAAAGGCTACTCATAAAATGTTAAATGCAAGTAACTTATAAGAAGAATTTATAAATGACTCTGTTAGTTGTGTGATGACCCTCGTTAAGGGGAGGCATCAAAACATCAATGTCTGATAGAAAACTAAATAAATCTAGTTTGGGGGGAGGGGGTCAAAGCTATTTCAGTTTGCTATCCGACAAATTTCAACATTTAAATTTTTCGCAATTTCGACTCGAAATGCCTTGGAAAATAAAGATTTTACCAGATGCCTTCTTCACCAAGATGCATGCAACATGGAATATTATGCCTATTGTTGTTGGCACATGTTTTAAGAATCATAAATAAGTTATAGTACTGGCCCCATGAAAGTCCAAATTGAGTCGCTAAAACATGTGAAAAGTCCGCGATCAACTTTCATTGTATTCATTTTTGAGGGGGAGGGGGGGGTCCAACTCAAAACTAGATTTATTTAGTTTCCTATCAGACATTGAACTTTTGATGCCTCCCCTAACTAGTTGCCACTACAGTCTCAACTGTAGTGGCTAGCGTTGATGGCTCAGGAGTAAAGCATCGAACCCTGGAGCGGAAGGTCCTGGGTTCGATTCCCACACGGAGCATAGCATTGTATTCATCACACTCCCTGTCATGTCCTTCTTACACTACAGCTCTCCGGACAAGTGTCCTCAGGGTCGTTACGGTTGCACTGAGCCACATTCTCATTTCCAGAATTCCTGTAGTTTGGCGTCCCAAATAGTTCCGCTTCTTCAAATGTCTCTGGCAAATGGCAATTCCTTGTTTCGGGAAGGAAATATGCTAACACACTCGAGATTATAGCAAATGTGGAAAGGCAAACGTATGGCAACCCAAACCATATTTGTTTTAAAAGAGGGAGTTGTGTGGCTATCAGGGCTGCTATTCGACTGATACTTGCTGCACTTCCAACACCAATGGTCCTTGCTGGTGTTGGATATATTTCACCTGTATACAGAAACAGGATTCGCAACGTAGTCTTCATAGTTGACATTGCTATCATAGCAGATATCGACACCAGCAATTTTATATTCACCAATATTAACGGTATCATAAGTAAACAACATAATCCACTAATAAGAATGTAGATCATAATTGCCAGCCTTCTCCCAGTTTTAAATAAAGCAATCCAAATTGTGATAAAGGTAGGAACCTCTGACCCAGCTGCTACAAGAGCCATATTGAGATATATATTACCAGGAACTAGTTTTCCAATATTTGTTCCAAACGCATACAAAATTAATGTTCTGCTCGACCAAATAAACCACAAAATCAGAGTGCGCTGTCTGAGACGTGGCGTTCTAAGGAAATTAAGGACAGACACACTTTTAACTGCATCATTGTTATTGTTTTCTGCTGTCGGACTCTCGTCTATTCCTTCAGGATTGGCAACATTATTGATCCTAGCGATCCTATGCACAGCTGTACTGTATTCTTTATATCGTTTGCGAGATAGAAGCCATCTCGGGCTTTCGGGCAGGACAAAAGCACAAATTAATCCGGGTATGGCAACACCCACACCAACTAAATGTAAGTGTATGTGGTTTCGAACAAAATACGCAACTAAGGGCAGAATAAAATCAAGGATACGCCCAAGAGTAACGAAATATGTACAATGGTTCCGATATTTTGGAGGCATACTTTCTGTGACGAGAATCAAAAGTACTGAATACGCTCCCAAATTCCAAAATCCTACGAGGAATCGCAATCCAAGGAATAACCAAAGATACGGTGAAAATGCTTCCGCTGCAACACACACTACTTGGCCTATTAACATTGTAACTGCAGTCCATTTTCTACCCCATCTGTCAGACATATAACCAGCTAAGGTAAACCCAAAACATGAACCCAAGGCGAAAGACATTGCTGGAATGGTCTGTAGCCATTCTCGACTGCACACCAGCCCGTATCGACTTACTAAGTTTGAATAAAACTCAGTTTGGTCATACTCCCAACCATATTTACAAGGTACTCTCGTCCAGTTACTATCTGGCACCATTTTGCCCACATCTCCCTCTCGATCACCTAGTTCGGTAATATTGACGTCGTACATTTCACATTTGCTGTAGGTTTTCTCACCAAACTCATTTATATATTTTGGAATTATCAGATCCTTAAGATGACTTTTGTTTTCACCATGTGGAACATCAAATCTACACCAATGGTCCATGTCTCCAACTAGAAAATTGATAATATTAAACTGCCAAATGTTTCCGAAAAAAAATATTACCAAACCCAGTATCTGGAGTTTCTGGTATCTCCCGAATCCTCCTATCTTTAACAGCGCATTGTCGAATGTCATGGCTTTTTACTATAATAATAGAACTTTTACTCAATTCAGTTTGTATACCTTTCATCCGTTTGATGTTTACCTTTAAAATTGTCAGAGTATCTTAATTTAAACATTTACATATAGGTACATTTATCTCTCGACGAGCCTACCGTTGATAATCATCCCTTCCAAGTAACCTTCCTGTAGCCTAGTAACTTAAATTTGAAACGGCCATCACTCTGAATGTTATTGCAAACAGGGGTAGTAGCGAAGAAAAGTTGAATGAATGAATGAATCGCCACATTCATTTTAACGATTCCTATTTTTTGTGTACACAAACATTACTGATTGAATGGCAAAAGAACTGAATAGATCGCGCTTACATATAAATCGTTGATTTTGATCTTGACCCCTCAAAAGCAAATTGTCCAGCTGGAGTTACAATAAAAATGCTCCAGCTATGCAGGAATACTATTTCTGTGCCACTTAATTTACTTTTTCATAAAATTTTGACCACAGGTAATTTTCCCCAGAACTGGAAATTAGGGGATATCTGCCCAATATTTAAAAAGAATAATAAGAATGACATAAGAAATTATAGACCTATATCTCTTCTCAGTATTACTTCCAAAATATTAGAACGAATTGTCTACTCTAAGATGTACGAACATTTAATTGAAAATAACTTATTGTATAAATACCAGTCCGGTTTTTTGAAAGGGCACAGCAATGAGTTACAACTGTTAGCCATCCAAAACCTAATTTGGCGCAATTGTAGCGACGGCAATGATACACGTGCAATTTTTCTGGATATTTCGGCCGCGTTTGACCGTGTCCCCCACTACCTTCTTCTAAAAAAGTTGAAAGCATATGGATTTTCAGGAAACTTATTAGTTTTTCTAAAATCTTATTTGACTGATAGGAGTGTCAAAGTAACTGTGAATGGCAAATGTTCTGACACCTCTCCTAGCAACTACATAAACTGCTCTGTGCCTCAGGGAAGTATTCTCGGACCTTTGATGTTTCTCCTCTATATAAACGACTTACCGGACAACCTGACCTCAGAGTGTTTTATTTATGCAGATGACACCTCCCTCTTTGTACCTACTTCCTCAAACAATCCGCAGTCTCATATACAAATTCAAAATGATCTAAAAAAATTGAAGCCTGGTCTAAACAGTGGAAACTAGATTTTAACCAGAAAAGAGCAGAGAAATGACCTTTTCTAAAACAAATAATCCAATCTATCCACCAGTTATCTTAAATGATAAACAAATTGAAAAAACTGACATTCATAAACACCTAGGCTTCATTTTTGATAAAAAATTAAGTGGGTCAGCACATATAAATTCTATCTGTGCAAAAATCCAAACAGCTCTTAACCCCTTAAAAGCACTTAAGGGTAGACTAAAATCAAAACAATTAAATATTCTCTATACAGCTTATATTCAGTCCTTATTTGATTATTGTGATATCCTTTACGACTGTGCTCCTATTTGTGACCTTAACAGACTTGACAATCTCCAGTACCAAGCTGGTCTAATAGTCTCTGGTGCTCTCCCAGGCTCCAGCACTTACATTTTAACAGATTTAGTACTTAACATTTTGAACTGGTCCACCTTAACTGAGAGGAGGATCCTCCACTTTAAAACAATTATGTACAAAGCCGTGAACGATTTAACACCTATTTATATCTCAGATATATTTAGGCCATTCATAAACCCTCAAGCAAGATTGTTAAGGAAATCTCGAGATTTCACTATCCCTATTCACTATCCACATAAGTCTCCAATATACAAAATGATGAACCTATGGAATGATCCAGGATCTGTTCCCTTGGAACAAAAGCTCTTGCCAACTATTGCATCTTTTAAAAGAACACTTAAATTAAATTTGTTCCCTGGTGTTGTTTCAACTATTTGTTTAAAATTAACTCGTCAACAAGAACTTTATCTGAATAGAGCCAGGGTAGATTTAATTTTAAAAGCTCAGCTCAAAGCCCACAATTGGAGCTCAGTTGAGTCATCAAGTTGTTTATGTGGTTCCCCTGAAACTTTTCCCCACTTCTTTTTCAAATGCCCTCTGAAAGAACAACAAAGAAATAAATTAATAACAGATACTTTAGGGATATATGGGGACTTATTAACTCATTCCAGAACTCAGCAAGACAAAATTCACTTTTTTCTTTTTGGGGATCCATCATTAACCCAATTAGAAATGGATAATCTATTTTCATTGGTTGCGAATTATCTCATTGAAAACACAACCAGAATCTAAAAAATTTTCCTGCCTATGACCTGTTTCCATTTTTCAACATACTACCCCCCCCCCCCCAGGATATCAGCAGCCCTCCTATCTTTTGTTTCATTGCAAGGTATTCTACCATTTACAGGTGACATCCAGGTTAAGATGAAT